TGCTTTTTTTGTGTGTGTTTTCCTCATATAAATATGAATCAACTGCTGGCATAGGAAAAAGCCAAGAAGGAATTGCAGACGTTGGCACAGCAGGGGCTATATGTGCCACGTAAACCCATATTTTGAGCCTCCTCCCTTACTGAAAAAACAGCTTAAACCAGCCTGGGCTGGTTGGCTGGTTTTAGCTGGTTAACCAGCCTGGTTTTAGAGTGGTTTTGGCCATTTCCAGGCTGGTTTCCAGCCATTTCCACCCTGGTCTTAGCTGGTCAGGCTGGGAGATGACCAGCTAAAACCAGCTTGACCAGCCTAGCCAGGCTGGGAGCCCAGCTTTATGTCCAGCTTAAAACAGGCTGGTCAAGCTGGTTTTAGCTTGATTTAGCTGGTCATTTTCCAGCCTGACCAGCTAAGGCCAGGCTGGAAATTGCCAAAACCCCTCTAAAACCAGGCTGGTCAACCAGCTAAAAAGAGCCAACCAGCCTAGGCTGGTTTAAGCAGTTTTTTTTCAGCAGGGTCATTTGCTGTCCATCCAAAACTATCCATCTTTTTATATTACCAGCATTCCTTCAATACTGTCTTTACTGGATGACTTGGCTTTTTATGTTTACCATCTAATCTTTATCTAAAGATATTTCAGGTTATCTTTATATATATATATATATATATATATATATATATATATATATATATATATTTCACCCATCTCTACTTGTATTGCTGTTATAGCTGTTGTTCTTAATGCTCAGTCGAAACGCATTGTTTTATTATTTGTGTTTTACTCCCCTAACAAATCTCTTCTTCTTAGTTTTTTGGCGAATTGCAATTGGATTGCAATTGGATTCTGTCATTGCTCTGCCCCAATCCATGTCGAGCTAGTGTTTTTGCCATACTGATAAACTTCCGGTGACCTGTTATCGTGATCATTTTTTTCCCCAATTTATACGGTTCCTTTTACAACATCGATGTTGTAATGTCATTAAAATACATTCAGTTAAATAAACTTTGGCATTCATTTAGTTGTTCAAGTGTAAAACGAGACAAAAAGACATTTAGGGTGCTTTCACACCTACACTTTTGTTTCGAAACGTGTCTCGTTTGCCCAGTTAGCGCGGTTCGTTTGGCATATGTGAACAGGGCAATCGCGCTCTGTTCCGCGCCAAAGTAATCGCTCCGAGATCGCTTGAGTGAGGTGGTCTCGGCTCGATTAAAACGAACCCTGGAGCGATTCGATTGCAGTGAGAAAGCGATCCGATCCGAGCGCGGTTATATCACAGTGTTTTATGGATATGTAATAGGCTTACGGCTATATGAAGAGAGAATTATGAGAAGGGCGGGAAATTTCGTGAGTCTCCGGATGCCCGCAAACGAGTGATGATCTCCCGGTAATCTCGCGTCTCCCTCCTGGTCCTCAACTAGGCATCGTTGCGTACCCTTCTCAGCCCTCCCGACCGCATCTCTCCTCAGACACGTCGCGCGCGCACCCTGTCAATCACCACCAAACCACCACCTCTCCTGACAGCTTAGCGGGACGCTGCAAAATAAACCCTGACACTCTGACCAATGGGAGGAGAGTTTACTCGCACGTGACTTGTTTTAGCTCTTTTGGTCCGATTAGAAACTTTGCAGTGTGAAAGCGAAGCGCTCCAAGAGCAACGAGCAACAATGTAACAATTGTAATCTCTGTTTCGGAACAACTGAATCGATTCACAGGTGTGAAAGCCCCCTTACACTGCGTCAGGTCAGGTGCGCCCGTAAATAGCCTTCAAAACGCGCACACAGGAGGCGCACTCAACTCACAAGGGAGAAAAGTGGGTGACATGATAGGAGTGTCACGGGTAGAAGAAGGAGTGAACTCAAGTGCAGAACACAAAGTGTTTATTAAGGAGAAAGTCTTTGCAAAGGAACAAAAAACCCAATCGGGTGAGTGCCGTGGAAAAACAGTCCAGAAACATAGGGAGACTCGTTCACTGGCAGCCCTGGACACAAATATGGGGTGAGTAACAGACCGTTATACACACACACCAACGACAACAGACTGACAAACATGAAGGGAAATGCCGTGCTATAAATAGGAACAAAGGGATGAGAAACAGGTGGAGCCAATTACTCCGATGACCTGTGAATACTAGAAAAGCAGGTGACTGAAGGTAATCTGTAACATTGAACTGGAGAGAGTGAGAAGGTACGGTGACAAGGAGCAGCTTAATTCATTACATGTTTTGGTTAACTAATTCTTTAAACACAACTCTCTTGAGCTCTAAAAGGAAAAAAACACATAAGAAATTTGCTGTTAATTTTAGCAGAGACGCAACTGCCAGTCATTTATTAGTTCGGGAAGATGTAGCCTAATAAAAATGTTTTAATAAAAACAAATAGTTCACTGCACAGTCCCACAGTAGGCTACAATATAAACAATATTTTAATTTATTTATTAATATTATCATTAATATTATTACAATTAAGCTAAAATTGACAAAACGCAGAACTCTCTGAATGTTTGCTTTCATTTTGCTAAAAAGCGCACTTTTACAGTTGTGTAGAGAAACATCACATTATGCAGCAGCAGTCAAGGTATAACACATAATAAATGCCTTTTGCGTTTATTACGTCAAGTTTGCAGTGTTATAAATGGAATAGGTATAGTGCTTGAGTGGATTTACCGCGGATCAACCGAGAAACCTCTCGCGCTGCAGGTAGGCTGAATGATCATCTTTTAAAAGTATGTAATTTCAGCTATACTGCTATTTGCTCATGCAAAATTAAACAACACAAAATATGTTGTAGATCTATTTTAAGAGCTAAAATACAGCATATTGAGTTTGTTTTGACTTGTAGCTCATGGCCCTAAAATGAAAATAACCTGAAAACAAGCTATTAAAAAAGGCTTAATAAATAAAATAATTAATAAATAAAATGACGGGTAATGGTTTATGATGGTTTACAATATCACGAAAAAAGCACACTTATGATAGCCTAAGATAAATCTTTGTTTTTACATTTAAAATGATGAATAAAAAAGTTACATAGCATATTGAGTTGCATGTTATCCATGCCAAAATTTAACCAATTTCCACGGTAATAACATGTGAATTTTGGTATCTTTTTTAGGTATTTTATTGGCTACACTAATGCATTAAAACGTAACTAAGTAATTGTTTTAAATGACAGTAGATTGTAACCTTTAGGTTTTCCCTAACACTGATGTTGGTTGGGTAATACGTGAAGCAGGATGACTCGGTTAAGCTGATTTGACTATATTAATTTACCGGTTAAACGAATAGTCTGATCGTGGGTCAGCTTGCATGTGTGGCCATAATTTGACGTCTTTACCTAAAACTTTAAACATTCATAGGCCTGTTATTTGAAATAAAACGGAAATAAGGAGAATAACATGTGATTTAAAGCACTCGTTTGGCACTGAAGCTATGATCCGTCTGCATTAATAAGCGGTATGCATTACTATCTTTAATAAAATTCGTAATAGCGAAACTGCATATTGTTATTACTATTAAAACGTAGCCTATATTACTGCCTTGGGTCAGTAACTTAGGCAGTAATGCAAAGTAATAATAAATGTGAATAAATAGCCTAAATGAAAGAAACAAGGGACCAAAATCAGTCAGCAGGTCTAGTGCCCCCCTATGCATTTAAAGTGCCCCCTCAGTTTTGACTTCCTGGCGCCGGGCCTGGGCATACAGTTGACCGGAAGCGATTAACCCAGGTTACTGGCAAATTCAAAGTCCTATTAGCATACTTCGGCATATACCCTATTGGGTGTGCCTAGGATCCTATTGGTTCACTGGAGTTTTAATAGGTATAGTTTGTAGCACCTGATTAAAATATACACATATATAAATGCAGTGAAATCTCGTTTAAATTTATGTAATTTAAAATAATGTTATAATGACATAAAACTATTTTAAATTATGTATTTCGTATACTGATGTACAACTAAAGGCATGTGTAAAGCTTTTATTTTAGATAGCCTACGACGTGCTACCACGTCTTATGTAAATATATGTAACATATAAATGCATAAAAACATCAAAAAGACATCATTTAATGTTTACAAACGTTTCAATTATTTTAACGATGCGTATCTTTAACTTGTAGTTACCGATAATAATGCTACTAATATGGTTAGTGTTGTTAAAATGTCAAGACTGAGAATAGACTATAAAAAGCACCAAATTTGATTGTAATGTGGAGAAGTACAATAGTTTTTGATCAGGCATTCAATGCAGATGATCCATTGGGGTCCTAAGCGGATTCGATTGCGGTTGCTGCTAGATCGGATTTGGATGCAGTCCGAAGTTAACGAGAATTAATTATATTATTTATTAAATTTCCCATTTATTGTATTTTATTAACGTCTACCCCCACCCCAACCCTAAACCCAACCTTCACAGTAACGTAAAAACAGTCGTTGTATCGAGTATTATTTATGTTATCTATTAAATTACCCAATAAATTATATTTTATAATGCCTATTCCCATCACTGGGAAACATCCACACACACTCGTACAGTACAGACAATTTAGCCTACCCAATTCACCTCTACCACCTGTCTTTGGACTGTGGTGGAAACTGAAGCACCCGGAGGAAACCCACGCAAAGGTAGGGAGAACATGCAAACTCCACACAGAAACGCCAACTGAGCCGAGGTTTGAACCAGCGACCCAGCAACCGTCTTGCTGTGAGGCGACAGCACTACCTACTGTGCCACTGCCTCGCCCTAGTTATATTATTATTAGTTATATATATTATTGTTAGTTATATTTTATTATATCCTTTTATCTAATCCTGTATTATATAAAACAATTATTAGAGTCCTGTATCCTGTACGGTTATAATTAAACTCATGCCCCAGTAGGTATCCTATATCTTTATCTTCCTTTTCTTTCTCCTTAAGATATTCGATTAGATCCTTTCTGTCTTCTCTATATTTTAAACATTCATATATTACATGCTCGATTGTTTCTTTTACATCACAAAATTCACATAATCCATTCTCATGTACACCGATTAAAAACAAGGAATCATTCAGTCCGGTATGCCCCAGTCTCAGTCTGGTAATTATCACTTCTTCCTTCCTATTCTTTCCATGAGTAACCATTTTATTGTCTACATTCTTATTGATTTTATATAGATCTCTTCCTCTCAAATCTGTATTCCATACTCCTTGCCAATGTCTAACAAATCTCTGTATGGGACTTTTATTTTGGCGTGTGTTGTGACGTCACAAGGCTGCGCCCGCTCCCGTGTTTGCGATCCTGAAGCAGGTTTGTGCTTTACGCTTTTTTTAATCTAAATAAACCTTCAGTTTCCTTTTACGACATCATTAAATATTTGTGAACAACATTAACAACGATGTAGCGAAGCAATGTTTGATATTAATATGGAAAATTATCATTTATATGCCATTAAAAAAAGCAAGACTAGTGTCTCTGTAGCCTGTCGTCAAACTGTTAGTAAACATGGATTCAGTCATTAGGTGCGTTCGACATGAAGCTCAGCTGCAGCCGGTGATCAACGAGATTAGCCGAGCGCAGGCGGGGGCGTAGTTGAAAACGGAGCCGTCAAGACGGACAGCTGGACACTTCGGGACTCAAAATTGCTGCAGTCATGATGACCGATCACATGGCGTCATCATATATATTTTTTTTATTTTTATTTATAACAACAAAAAATTTACAAATAAGACAGAATACAGTTTCTACAAACTGTAGTTCCTTTTTAAACAATAAGGGAGAATTATGAATAAAATATATAACAAATGCATGAGAGAAATAAGAGGAAATGAGAGGTTAATATAAACATAAAAATGAACAGGTCTATTAAATACAAAGCAATAAGCATACATACTAGGAGTTAAACATCAATCTTTAGGCTAATACTTCTTGTTTGAATATGCTAAAAAAGGGTTTACATTTATGTACATTTATAGATATAAAAGTTTCCAATGTAAAAAGCAAAACAAGGTGTTTTGATTAGGTCTTAATAAATGACATTATTTTGGATGATGAATGAATTTTAAAAAAAGCATTTTAATCCAAAAAGATTGTGTTGAAAAGAACAAAAGGTAAAATAAGTGAGCTATGTAGAAGTTTCCCAGAAAGAGCAGGTAGCCTTTAAACTGCTAGACAGGAAATAAAATATATATTTATATTATAATAATAAAACCATTTTATAATTATTTAATAAAATAGTTCTTTACTTTAATTGCTTAAGAGAGCTTTAGGGTGGCAGGATCAATGATGATGATTTTATTTCAAGTCTGTAAGACTTATTTAGGTTATTCACTAAAATATACACTAAAATATATCATTTAAATCGTTCATGGAGATGAATGCAGTAAATAGTCTGTATAAAAAAGTTAAAAATAAACCTGCGCAAACAAGCTAACCTTTATAACCAGATTATTTAACAAAAGATGATACTGCAGTAAAATATTTGTAGTCTTTTAATAAGCAAGATGTGTACAGGATAGAGAGGGTGTAAAAAGTGAATTGTTTGTTTTGAAACTTTTGAATCGGAATTTGTCCAATTATAAACCCGAAATGCACGTGTTTGTTGTCATGTGCTGAACTCCTGTGATATCGGTGTGAACAATCGTGTGATATCGGTGTCGTCATCAAAGCTCCTGCAGTCGCTGTTCAGAAGCTGCACGGTCTGAGTTTGCCGTCTGATCTCGGAGCGCTGTCGCGGTACTTTGATGCCACATGTGACAGTCACGTGGCGTCGGCGCAGCATCAATCCGGACAAGATTTCTAACCAGAATGCACCGCTTTAAGACAGATTTCGATCGATCTGCGCAGCGCTGCATGAAGTCGAACGCACCTATTGGCGAGTGGAGATTTTATTCAAATGATACACTTTTCTTTATATTTTAAAAGAAAAGAAGAAAAGGTAAACAATACTAGAAATATTAAATATAATATATATGAGCAACATGATAGAGGGAAAACAACAATACTAAAGTAAAACAAAATACATGGATTACAATATAAATATAATAAAACTAATGAAATTTGTAAAATAAAATAAATAAATGTACATATAGACCATTTTGCACAGCCAGTGTTTTTCAGCCAATCATAAACTTGGAGTGAAAGCTGTATGAGACGGTTTATACGGTTTCTTTCACATCACTGATGTTGTAATGTACTTCATATATAATCAGTTAAATAGACTTAAGCGGCTATTCGGCTGTTAAATCGTAATAAGAGACAAAAACCTGTTTAATCGGAGGCGCCGTCATTAGAAATCCCATTGAAAACACAAAAGAGGTAGTTAGTTTATATTCGCACATTCAGACTTTCCCCTTAATAATATAATTTAAGAAAAGTATTCTTTGCAAACTCTAAATAGCGAAATCATATTAGCAGCCAGTGACTATCAAAATAGAACACTGTTGAATTAGAGTTAATGTTGTTTAAAAGTCACACTTGCATGCTAATTCCGATCGAATACTTAAAGTAACATGGTAAACAATATAGAGACTTCTAAATGAACGAATGTGCGAATACAAAACCAATTTTACCTCTATGAAAACATTGAGGTAAAATTAATTCCCATATTTTAAAGACATGGCACGGTAAAATCTAATTTAATGCAGTGCTTCTTGTTTGGTCTTTACATCATATCTCAGCCTAGCAGTTAAGATCGCTGTTTTTTTTTTTTTGTTTTTTTTTTTTTGAAAGAAATTAGATCTTAAACGCTGCTATTTTTAATGGGATGACAATTAGCTGGAAGCCATGGTGCCTGCTGACTGAATTTGAAAGTCTGTGAGCATATACCCCACTAGCAGCTGTTCACTTTGCTTTAATGTGACCAGTGGACATTGATGTTACTGAGGACATTTTGATGAAGGGCCATTTCAAACACTTAACCAATATCGCACATCTATTTGATCTGTTTAGTTTAATCTAATCATCATTAAATGACAGTTAGAATAATTAGCTTCACTTTTAATTTTCTTTTTTAAATATATCTTAAGTGATGTTTAACAGAGCAAGGAACTTTTCACAGTATGTCTGATAATATTTATTCTTCTGGAGAAAGTCTTATTTGTTTTATTTCGGCTAGAATAAAAGCAGTTATTCAATTTTAAACACCGTTTTAAGGTAAATATTATTAGCCTCTTTAAGCTAGATTTTATTTGATAGTCTACAGAACAAACCATCGCTATACAATAACTTATTACCCTAGCTAAGCCTTTAAATGTCACTTTAAGCTTTATAGGAGGGTCTTGATGAATATCTAGTCAAATATTATTTACTGTCATCATGGCAAAGATAAGATAAATCAGTTATTAGAAATGAGTTATTAAAACTATTATGTTTAGAAATGTGTTGAAGAAATCTGCTCTCCGTTAAACGGAAATTGGGGGAAAAAATTAACAGGGGGGGCTACATTATTATTAAATATATATTTTGAATCTAGCTCTCCTCTATACATTAATCTGAAATGGCCATATATGAACATATACACACAATTATTGCTTATGCAATTAAACATTTTGTAATTATTAATATGAAGTGACTTTAAAACTCAATTTGTAGTAGCATCGGCAGTGAAGCTAACTGATAATTCAAAAGCTTTACTCTTAGCCTGATGTTCAAAGGTTACCTTTACTTTAGCCTGCTAAATTCAGCTGCAGTTTGATAACATGGTGTCTTAAAGTATTAAAAATTGATCAATTAATTTAGAGAAATTTTTGCAAGGAGTTAAATTTTGTATCAGTATGCTAAAGTCTGGCTAAATTTAGTCTTTGAATATTGTGATGCTGTGTAGTTTCTGAAATCAAACAAATCCTGCTAGTTTTGACATCACGCTGTTTTGTTTACTGCAGTAATGCTGCGTTCACACCAGATGCGGAACGTGCGTCAAGCGCGAGTGATTTACATGTTAAGTCAATGCAAACGTGCGAATAGACATCCTGTGGCGCGATACGCGCGAATGGTGCGGCGCGAATGACGCAAATTGCGCGGGGCGAATTGAGCGTTTTGCGCGTTTGACGCGCTTAACGAGCGTTTCGCGCGAATCACTCAATTTCAAAAATCTGAACTTCAGCGTATATTCGCGCCGCGTTAACCAATCAGAAGCTTGCTCTTGTGGGGGCGTGATTGTGACGTAGAACCTGTTGTCAGTGTTCTGAGGGAAATCCTTCAGCCTTCACCGACAACAGTTCATCAAACTGGGCTGGGCTCAGTCAGAAGCACCGCTGAAAGCCTCCGTCATCCAGGTTAAGTTTCTGGAGGAGTTTATGAGCTCACAGAGCTGGATGCACCTCTGAAAGGATGTAGTGGACTCAGACACGACCCTAAACGTATCGACGCTGTTTTTCAGTCTTCATAAAGCACATTAACACTGTAATTTTCTTCATAAAATCCATGTTGGCCATTTAGCTATGAAGCTAGAGTTACGGGGCAGACAGAAGCCCTGCCCATCACGCGAATCTGCGTCTGTTCTTAAGTGAATTTGACACGTGAGTGAAGCGGGGTTTGACGCGCGAATGAAGCGAGTAAACTCAAATGTTCACGCGGCTATTTACGCACGAATAGCGCAATTTATCCGCGCGTTCCGCGTCTGGTGTGAACACAGCATAACACTGTTATTCCTGGTGCTGTAATGCTGCGTTCACACCAGACGCGACACGCGCGTCAAGCGCGAGTGATTTACATGTTAAGTCAATGCAAACGCGCAAATAGACATCCTGCGGCGCGATAAGCGCGAATGGCGCGGTGCGAATGACAAGAATTGAGCAAATGGCACGTGCCGAATTGAGCGTTTTGTGCATTTGACGCGCTTAACGAGCGTTTCACGCAAATCTCTCGAGTTCGAAAATCTGAACTTCAGTGGACATTTGCGCCGCGTTAACCAATCAGAAGCTTGCTCTTGTGGGGGCGGGATTGTGACGTAGAACCTGTTGATGGTGTCCCAGGGGAAATCCTCCAGTCATCAAACTGGGCTTGGCTCAGTCAGAAGCACCACTGAAAGCCTCCGTGATCCAGGTTCAGTTTCTGGAGGAGGTTATGAGCTCACAGAGCTGGATGCACCTCTGAAAGAATGTAGTGGACTCAGACACGACCCTAAACGTATGGACGCTGTTTTTCAGTCTTCATAAAGCACATAAACACTGTTATTTTCTTCATAAAATCCATGTTAGCCATTTAGCTATGAAGCTAGAGTCACCGGGCAGACAGAAGCCCTGCCCATCACGGGAAACCGCGTCTGTTTTGAAGTGAATTTGCGAATGAAGCGGGGTTTGACACGCGAATGAAGCGAGTAAACTCCATTGTTCACGCGGCTATTTATGCGTGAATATCGCGATTTATCCGCGTGTACCGCGTCTGGTGTGAACACAGCATAAAGGTGGATGAACATGTTTATTCAGCATATAAATGCAGTTTTAGTTAAGGATTAGTTCCCTACTATCATTATTTAGCAAATATACTGCAGGTTAAAATGTCGGCAATGATACTGGTTGAAACCTGAACTGCTGATGAGGTCTGTTTGCAGAGAGTCTTAAAGGTTACTGAGTTTCTGTATATACCCTGCATAATCGCAGCTTAATCCCTTGTATAAACTATATTTTCCTCCAAAATAATTCTTACTTGGAATAAAAAACTTATGATAGCTTAAGTTGTGATAACCTTCCTGAGACCAACACATGACTAAACATGAACGTACCTGGCTAAAAACCAAACTTGTTTTGTGCAACAGGCCTGTGATTGTGTCTGTTGTCTGTTCCTCAGGCTGACTCCCTCAGCAGTGCACTGAATAGTGAACTAGAGAGCTGACCGAGTGTGGATTTCTTTTATTTCTGTTCATTGTTCTCATTTTGAACAGGACAAAGTGTCCAAACACAGAGAGAAACTCCTGCTGAAGCGACTGATCTCCACACTGTTATAAAGATGGCGTTTATTAAAGAGGAGAGTGAAGATCTGAAGATTGAAGACACATTCACAGTCAAACAGGAGGATCCAGAGGAGCAAACAGGTTGGTTTTCATTCACAAAGATCAACTCATTTGAATAAATGTCCGCGTTTACTATGTTAATTCCTAAATTCCTGACCATTTTACTTCAAATAACTCTACCTGGGTCTTACAGATTGTTGTTGTATTCTGGCATTCGGATGAAATCCATTAGTGGAGGTTCATAGTGTGCTCACTAATGAGGACAAAGCAACAGTAGAGTATGAAAATATTTGCAGATGCTTTATCAAACCCTTCAGCAAATTCATTCATTCATTTTCCTTCGGCTTAGTTCCTTATTTCTCAGGGGTCTCCACAGCGGATTGAACCGCCAACTATTCCCGCATATGTTTTACACAGCGGATACCTTTCCAGTTACAACCCAGTACACTCTTTCATTTAGAGACACACTCATACACTACAGCCAATTTAGTTCTTTCAATTCATCTATAGCGCATGTGTTCGGACTGTGGGGGAAACCGGAGGACCCAGAGGAAACCCACACCAACACGGTAGAGAACATGCAAACTCCACAAAGAAATGACAAGGACTCAAACCAGGGATCTTCTTGCTGTGAGGCAACAGTGCTAACCACTGAGCCACCTGTTTAGTAAATCCATATCTCAATTCAGTATCACAGTCGTAAAGATTAGGGATGTGCATGTCTAGTTGAGTAAACCGTACAGCCTCTACTAGTTCACACTGTAAAGCAATAGAATACAGGAGATACAATTATCCAGATCACCATCGTTTTAATGTTACATTTAACACAACATGTTACATATCTTATATAAGCATATGCTGGATAAGTCGGCGGTTCATTTCGTTGTGGTGACCCCTGATGAATAAAGGTGTAATGATTGATCTGCCAGAGAGGGATCCATATGCAGTACGTTTATTAAACAACTGATAGACAAGAGCACTGGCTAAAGATGTAATACTCGAGTGCATTGGAAGTGTAAACGGGGTCGAAGGCAGGCAGTGGTGTTCAGCATCAGAGTACAGGCAGAGATCAGGGCTGACAGCAGAGAATCAGATTCAAATAGCAGGTAAAGGTCTGGGCAGGCAGCAAGAGAAGACAAGGACGATGAACAGTCTGGGTTGGCAACGAGAGAACAATCAGAAGGCAAGTAATATCGCTCAGAAATGTATGCAGGGCAAAACAAGACTTTGCATTGAGAGGTGAGTGATAGCGATATGTGCGAGTGTGGATTGCGATCAGGTGCAGGGAAATAGGGTACATGCCGAACGTCACGTGACCAAACCGGATCCCTGGGTAGAATACTTCCGCTCATCGCCAGTTCTTATGCGCCATTGATTTGTTATTGAAAGTAGTTAGTTGTAAGTAGTGTTTATACGTCATATAATTGGGTATATGTGCAACTTTCGCGTTCTAGTCAACCTGGGTAGAACACTTTTTCACTCTCCGCTAATATGGTTTGGTATCATAGTCGTGACACTGAAGCAGTGTTTTGACATCTAGGCTTTCCTCCTCCGTTTCTTCAACAACCGGCGTGGTGTTCTCTCCCATACGCTTGGCCTGGCTACCGGTAGTCGTTCCAGGCAAACAGAACAGGCACAGCTCCCTTCTTTAAGTGTCGTCGACCGCCTTGACAGACATCAGCGGGGACAAAATGTCTACTACAGACTGCTGTGTTCCTACTTATAACTAAATTGTCACGTCTGACATTGTGAATCCACATTTTTCTTAAAGGTTCAAACCTGTGGAAACTTACGGTGGAATTGAACTCCCTGGACATCGCGCATTGAAGTACACAACAGAAATCACTGTTGGGATTGCTCCTTCTCTGGTATTTTAGCGCCTTTGATAAAGGCATCTTGCTTGAATATTTAAAATATAAAATTATATAACGTATAAACACGACTTACTACTTTCAATAACAAACCGATGGCGCATATGAAATGCGATGAGCGGGAGTATACTACCCAGGGATCCGGTTTGGTCACGTGGCGTTCGGCATATACCCTTTCAGCGCCAGATATAGGGACTTCTGGGTGATGGAGTTCTTAGAAAGCCAGTGATAGTGACCCTCTGCTGGTCAGTGAGGGGAATGGCTGGGCTAAAGGGACTAAGCCAAAGGAAAATGAATGAATTTATCATGAAAAAAAATTAAAAAATAATAAATGTAATCAATTGTTTTTTTAAATAGTATCTGAGGGTAACTACATTTTGTACCACTGACTGTTTTATTCTGAAAGAGAACCAAGCAATTTTTATTACTAGAAAAACGTCTTTAAATCGTGGTGAAGGTTATGTGACAGAACTGCTGTTGGTCCTTCGGTATCACTGGCAAAACATTATAACTTTAACTTCGTCCACTCGCCTGAGCAGACTCTTTCCTTGCTTATTTATTTAAAAAGGGAGTTACTCTTATTATGAAGTAGATGGATAGTTTAGACATTTTATTAAGCTTTAGTAAGCTGGTAGCAAGATCTTTTACCAGTAAAGTGACCATTTTTTGAGGCAAAACTAACAAAATACGACGTGATTATAAAATGATTTGATGACTAGTCTAACACATAACAAACAAACATACGATAGACAAACACAGGACAGCGAGGAAATAAAAGAGTTTTGATAAAGTATGGCCAATTTTACTCAGCCCCACAGGAATAATGAGACCCACCAAGTATTGATAAACACCTTACGCACACGGGGCTTCAGCAATAACGCTTGACTGAAGGCGTGTCTGAAGTTGGGGCTGAAACGATCATCATAGAAGCGTCAGCCAATGAAATTCAGTCAGCAATAGGCCACTGTCTAGCTGGTGTATTTGCATACAGCGATCTGATTGGCTTACGCTTCCGTCGCCGCTTGAAAAGTTGAGCTAGTCCCAACTTCTGCATTAAGCAACGCCTCTGAAGCAGCGCTGACGGATCCACAATGCAGTTTGGCAATGCCTGACGTCACCCATTCAAAGTGAATGGGAAGCGTTGACGCCCCGTGTGAATGGGGCGTTAAAGGGGCACAGCTTAAAAATACACATAAAGAAATACTTAATGCATTCCTCTCCCTCATAATGGGCAAGTTTAATCTGATGCTTGAAATATGGAGTCTCTTACGAAGTCCTGTTGTCATTTGTGCGGAGTTTGCAGTGCAAATCGGAGGATACGCGCAGTGCGATCTTTAACTCAGTTAATATTTGCTGGAAAACTAGAAACGTGGACTCAGGCGAGTCAAGCGGGTACAGAAATGGTGTCTTCCCTGGTGGGGTTCTGTCGGAGATTTTCTGTGCATTTTGCTTGCGTGGATCAAACTTTAAAGCTTTGTTTAAGTAACACCTATATTCTACTGACTGACCAATGGCGTGAGATGAAAAGTCATGCAGGTAACTTTCTTTGTTCCTCTCGCTGGTTTGGGGCTGTCCCAAGACAGACAGGCAAACTTTAAGTCATGGTTTGAAATTGCACTAAGCATACAAGTCCTAAATTAGGGGTGTCCAAACTCGGTTTAGTTTAGCTCCAACCCTAATCAAACACACCAGCTAATCAAGCTCTTTCTAGATATACTAGAAACTTCCTAGCATGCGTGTTGAAGCAAGTTGGAGCTAAACTCTGCAGGACACTGGCCCTCCAGTACCGAGTTTGGTCACCCCTGTCCTAGATCATGAACTGTAGAATACCAAACATGATAGTTTAAACACTCCTCAAACAGGATCGATGCATTTCTTTATTATATAACACCATAAGTGTTGTATGTGCATATTCCCCCTGGAATGTCTTTTGAAAACCAAGCGATCTGGCCAACGTCTTGGTAGATAAGATCTCCCATAGGAGTCTTTGGCTTTAGATTTCTAGGCTTAGAGGGCCATAAATGTCATGGTGAAGGAAGGGAGTTTTTTAGGGTTGTCACCTTTAATTGGAATAGGATACAGATAGAAAAGTATTCGGAACAGAGAGAGAGGGAAGGGTCGACAAAGAACCTCGAGTCGGGAATCAAACTCAGGTCAAGGTGCTATATCTCGGCATTAGGGGTGTCACGATTTCGATTTTTAATAGAAATCGATCGAAATTTATGCTCAATTTCGATTATCGAATCAAAAAATAGAATCGTCGATGCTGCCACGCCCCCATGTCACGTCAGCTTGGCTTGCCAAGCGGGAAAAAAACAGGCTTGTTGAAGTGCTTAATAAACTGCAGAAGCAGGAGTCCCATCGACAGAACTTAAACCCTCTCCTCTTTCAATGAAGTCGCCGGTGTGTAAGCATTTTGGATTTCCAGTGAGTTATGTTGACAACGTTTGTGTTGTCGACAAAAAAAACCCCACAGTTTTGCAAGCTCTGCTATGTACGTATTACGTACGGTTCGTCCGATAGACAACACCGGCATCGCGATCCTCCGCCCACCCCCGTTGCAAATTCGCTCGCGAAAAGTTTACACTCAGGCCCTGTTTACACTGTCTTTGTTTTCAAATGGGATTTTAGAACGACAACGATTTGACATCCACAGTGGCGTGTAGCATTTCTGAGCAGCCCTCCTTCCTCTCTACCTCTGAAAATGCACATCACGTGACCACACAGACACAGACGCACACAGCCATGCGCTCGAGACAGCAGGTCCAGGCAGTCAGAGGACTGCTTCAATCTTTCACTCACTTGTACGTAGTCATTTTAGCGAACACCTCAGATACTGTTGGCTGGTTCCTGTTGGTTGTGCGTCTTTTTTACCGACGCCATTATAACGACACAGATCACTGCCTATTCACGAGTCCCGCAGAAAAAAGTGACTGACAGGTGGTAATTATGTGTGTATCTTGCCTTTATTCATTTACTGTATGATTTGTTTATGGGTAAAACAAAGACCAAGCAGGTCAGGTAGTTTAAACGGTAGGCTACAAATAACTAATTGGTCATCATTAATTAATTATTCACAATCGAAAATCGAATCGTGCCTTTAGAATCGAAAATGTAATCGAATCGAGGATTTGGAGGATCGTGACACCCTTACTCGGCTCACTTAACCACTAGACTATTGCCGACCTCTCTTTTGTATGTTAATACACAAAGAAAGTGGTAGTAGCCTCCTAAGAACAGTGATGGTGCTTGTATACAAATGACAACACAAATATCACATTATCGAAGATTACAGACTAATTGTTTTCTGGGGTTATGGAAAATCAGCCTTTGTGTGTCCTTAAGAAAGCAATGAGTTTAAAATATTAAGACGTTCTGAGATTAAATGCTACTCCTCTTTCATTATCTTAGTGCTTTAAAGAGTTTACATTTTGATGCATAAAGTGTTGTCTGTCTTTGTGCCTTTGATGCTGAAATTCACTTGTATTTCTTTCTCTCTTTAGAGATGATGTTGCTGAAAGAAGAGACTCGAGAACTGACTGAAATGGAAGAAAGAGATCAGTTTGAGAAACACCAAGATTTAATGACTGATGAAATATCTAAGACAGAAAACACTTTGTCATGTAAAAAAGCTCCGAAGGCAAGGTCTAACGGTTCCTTCACCTGCTGTAAATGCGGGGAAAGTTTTACAAGTAAACTAAAACTTGAGTCCCACATGAAAACTCACAAAAGAGAACCGACACCTTGCACTTGCCCTCAATGCGGAAAGAGCTTTACGCAGAAACATCACCTTAAAGTCCACATGAGAATTCACACCGGAGAGAAGCCTTACATCTGCCAACAGTGTGGAAAGAGATTCAATCAGTCGCAGACCCTTAAAATTCACGTTACAATTCACACCGGAGAGAAGCCGTACACCTGTACTCAGTGTGGAAAGAGTTTCAGTCAGAAGTCAAACCTTGACATCCACATGCGGATTCACACCGGAGAGAAGCCGTTTGCCTGCCAACACTGTGGAATACGATTCCGGCAATTGCAAGTCCTTAAAGAGCACGTCACCGTTCACACCGGAGAGAAGCCTTTCACCTGCTCTCAGTGCCAGAAGAGTTTCCGATTAAAACAAGCACTCGAGATACACACGAGAATTCACACCGGAGAGAAGCCATTCTCGTGCCAACAGTGCGGAAGGAGTTTTTCGCAAATACAAAGCATCAAACACCACATGAAAACTCACACCGGAGAGAAGCCTTACAACTGCCAACAGTGCGGGAAACTCTTCACACGCAAAACATCCCTTAACGCTCACATGAACAGTCACACTGGAGAGAGGCAGTTCAATTGTGGCCAGTGTGGCAAGAGTTTCGCACGTAAATATACTCTTAATAAGCATGCGAGGATGCACTCGGAGGAGAAATGTTTTATATGCTATGATTGCGGGAAGAGATTCAGTCATAAAAGGAGCTTTAACACTCACATGAGGCTCCACGCTGAAGAACAGACACAGAAACTTTGCTCAAGTTCAAACTGACATGAAAAGAACTAAAGCGGCACACCTTTAATGTACGTGTAAGGCCATGTCCACACATGCATGGGTATTTTTATGAAATCAGCTTTTCCTACTTTAAAGAAAAAGGTCTACAGCAGGGGAGTCCAAACTCGGTCCTGGAGGGCAGGTGTCCTGCAGATTTTAGCTCCAGCTTGCCTCGACACACCTGCAAAGATGTTTCTAGAAAGCCTAGTACAGGGGTAGCCAATCCTGTTCCTGGAGATCTACCTTCCTGCAGATTTCAGTTGCAACCCTTATCAAACACACCTGTCTGTAATTATCAAGTGGATTTCAGGTCCTAATTAATTGGTTCAGGTGGGTTTGATCAGGGTAGGAGCTAAACTGTACAGGAAGGTAGATCTCCAGGAACAGGATTGAGCACCCCTGGCCTAGTAAGAGTTTGATTAGCTAGCCCAGGTGTGTCTGATTGGGGTTGTACCTAAACTTTGCAGGACACCGACCCTCCAGGACCGAGTTTGGACATGAAAAAACACATTCTAATGGTGGGTTTACACCAGACCAGACATGTTAAATCAATGGAAAGATGTGATCAGACATCCTGCGGCATGATTCTTGTGAATGGGGTGATGCGACTTGAGCACTTCAGGTGTTTACCGTGCGATTTGCATGAATTGCTCATGTTGATAATTCTGAATTTTGGTAGACATTTGCGCTTCCTTAACCATCAGGAGCCTTCTCTTGTAGGAGCTTATGACGTAGTGCCTGTTGTTGGAGTCCCAAGGGGAAATCTTCCTGCCGACACAGGACAACAGCTCATCAAACTGGGACCAGCTCAGTTGGAAGAACAGATGAAGAAGTATCTGTAATCCTGCCACAATACATCACGCTACCGCTGGCTGGTCCACCTCCAGCAAATCATACCAACCTAGATACTAATTTCCCGTTGTGTCATGAGAATACAGATACTGCCCACCTGTGGTTGCATAAATGCAAAGAATTCAACCAAGTGCAGAACTTGATCTCTCTTTTCAGTCTGCTGGCGTCTGTTTGGTGTGTTCATGTGCAGCTTTTTGGTCCGGATGGAACCAGACATGGAGGTCAAGGGGCAACAACACAGTTGTTTTTTGTCGACGCTGGTTCTTTGGCTTTGCCTTGGTGTGTCCTGGCCTTAAATTGCAGCCAAAAGTGTTCCAAACTAGCAATTAGCAATATATTCCCCCCAAAAATACCTGTCATAATGTTGACAGAACCTTAATTTAAAAAACTTCACAGCTTTAATTTCTGGTTTTCCTACATTGTCTTGTTTTTATTTGTACTCTCTTGCTTTGGATCAGTGTTTCTGTTGATTCTTGTCATGTAGTTTTATTCACAAACTTCAAACAGTCACTGATGAAGGATTCTACCATCTTGCTCCCCCCCTCCCATAAAGCTGCTTGAACACTGTATTGTATGAAGCACTATAGAAATGCAGGTGACTTGACGATCATGTCTCCAAGACCTCCTTGGCGCTTTTGCCTTTTTAGTCAAATTAAACAGCACTGGTAAAAAGATCTTCACTTCTGATCTTCTCATTCCCCACACAGGTCCTCATAGCAGCAGGAGTGCAAGTTCCACAAACCCATAGTCCACAGCCAGGTTGTAGTACAGGTATATTAGGCCAATTGGATTTGGAGAGTTTGATCAAATCGATCAAAAGAAACTATCAACGAACAAGTAATAAAATTTCATTGTGGCAATGTCTTGTTTATATTTATACACTCACTGGCCACTTAATAGCTCGTTATCGCAAATCTCTAATCAGCCAATTACATGGCTGCAACTCAATGCATTTAGCCATGTAGACATGGTCAAGACGATCTGCTGCAGTTCAAGCTGAGCATCAGAATGAAGAAGAAAGGGATTTAAGTGACTGAACATGGCATGGTTGTTGGTGCCAGACAGGCTGTTCTGAGTGTTTCATAAAATGCTGATCTACTGGGATTTTCACGCACAACCATCTCTAGGGTTTACAGAGAATGATCTGAAAAAGAGAAAATATCCAGTTATGTCTCCTTGTTGATGCCAAAGGAGAATGGCCAGACTGGTTCCAGCTAATAGAAAGGCAACAGTACTTTAAATAAACACTTGTTACAACAGAGGTTTGCAGAAGAGCATCTCTGAATAGACAACACGTCCAACCTTGAGGCGGATGGGCTACAGCAGCAGAAGACCACACCGGGTGCCACTCCTGTCAGCTAAGAACAGGAAACTGAGGCTACAATTCACTCAAAATTGGACAATAGAAGATTGGAAAAACATTGCCTGGTCCGATGAGTCTCAATATCTGCTGCAACATTCTGATGGTAGGGTCGGAATTTGGCGTAACAACATGAAAGCATGGATCCATCCTGCCCCACCCCTTTCCGGTACCTTGTTGAATCTATACCACGAAATAGTAAGGCAGACCGTAAGGCAAATGGGGGTTCAACCTGGTAGCTACTAGTAAGGTGTACCTAATAAAGTGGCCTGTGAGTATATAAACAAGAGCTTGATGCACAGTGTTGATTCTTGATTCTCAATTTAAGTCTTTTAGTATATTCTATTTTGATAAATTAGCATAACATCGTGAGTTTGTTGAACACGTCCTGTTCATATATATTTACAGCAAGTTTCTGACAAACATTTTTGAGTAGTCTCCCCCCCCCCCCCTGCTCTTTGATGTGGCTGAACAAAAGATTATAGCCATCAGTTGAAGTGGCAAATGAGGCAATCATCTCATGGAGGTACAGCTATATTCACAGCGCTTCACTTTGTGTTACCGCCTTTTATGTTATACACAATTTTTTACAGCCTATTTCCAAAATTGATTAATTTTTTTTTTTTTTAACTCCAAATTATACAAACAATATTCCTTAATGACAATAAGGTGATAAAAACTTTTAAAATTAGTTTTGAATTGTATTCACAACCTTTACCATGAGCTTAGGTGCATTATATATATATATAATGCACCTAAGCATATATATATATATATATATATATATATATATATATATATATATATATATATATATATATATATATATATATAAAATATACACACACTGTAATTGTAAAAAGTTCTTTTTAACTGAAATTCTATGTAGTGTGTTAGACTTTTAATTTGGTATTGGTATATGACGTCATGATTCAGCGCGCGGTGCTCTTGTGTGATTGAACCATGGGATGCTACAAATCAAAGGTTTGTGACGTTATTAAAACCGTTAAAACGCTTTCAGGTCCATACAACCATTTCAGATCAATTTTAGAGTTTATTTTACAAGCTGCTAAAATGGAGTGGCGCTAAATGTCGCTCTCATTTATCTCTATCTACCGTGAATCTGTTAGTTAACATGAGTTCAGTCACTGGCGAGTGGAGTTGGGGAAAACGGAGCTTTTCAAATAGAGTCAGTTGATTCTCAAAATGATTCGATCGATCGAATCATCGGGCGCTGACGTCATCTGCTTGTCAAACGATTGATAACAAGAAGAATGTGGAGTGACAACTTTTACAAACTTAAATAAACGTTTAATAATATACTGGTCAACGCATTAATTTATTTATGTTCATAAGTACTTATTCCTGTTATTTTCTCATCTTAGACAGGCTGAATCTACACAAAGAAAACATTTCTGGAGAAGTGACTGAGATTCAACGCTTTATTATCATACTCTTATAAAGATGGCGTTTATTAAAGAGGAAAGTGAAGATGTGAGGATTAAAGAAACATTCAGAGTCAAACATGAAGATCCAGAGGAACAAACAGGTTGGTTTTCTTTCACAAAGCTCAATCCATGATTATTTATTTACTTATTAGCAGGACCAGACACAATATGCAGACATTTTTTGCCATTTCAGCATAAAAGTTTGTAAAAAAAAATTATAATAAAATAAATAAATAAATAAATATATATATATATAAATTTATTTTGAAATTTACAGAGGAAGGAAATTTATACAGTATGTCTGATAATATTTTTTTCTTCTTGAGAAAGTCTTATTTGTTTTATTTCGGCAAGAATGAAAGCAGTTATTCATTTTTTAAAAGTAATTTTATTGTATATATATATATATATATATATATATATATATATATATATATATATATATATATATATATATATATATACACAGTAGAAGTCAGAATAATAAGCCCCCCTTTGATTTTTTTTTTTTCTTTTTAAAATACTTCCCAAATGATGTTTAAGAGAGCAAGGAAATTAATACAGTGTGTCTGATAATATTTTTTTCTTCTGGAGAAAGTCTTATTTGTTTTATTTCGGCAAGAATGAAAGCAGTTTTTCATTTTTTAAAAGTCATTTTATTGTAGGGCTGGACGATATGGCAAAAATTTATATCACGATATATTTCTTAATTTCGGTCGATACGATATAATTCCGATATCGATATGGACAATATTAAAAAGTCAGGAAAAAACTGCCTAGAACGCACACAATGGATGTCTGTACCTACAAATGTCTGCAAACTGAATTTGCTAAGTCTTTAATACCTCCAGGCTTATAAATTTTTTATTATTTTTTTTGAAGTACCAAAAAATGTATGTAAATTTTTTTATTTATATTTAGCCTTACGAACAGATATTCATAGTTCTGGTTGCTTTTCATCTTGAACGTTCTTTAAAGGTTCTATCTGTCTATTTATATTTGTGTATAATTACCCAATTAAATTAAAAGGTTTAACATAAAATAGTTCCTATATATTTTATATAGTCAATTTATATAGACTTATATTTTATATAACACACTTTCATTATTCAACATGTTAAATATCTCTTATAATCACATTCGTTCTATCTCATCAGCTTTGCAATAACCAGATTCCTGATAAATATGTCTGTGAATTTTATTTTGTAAGTTTGCTCGAGTGCTATACCAGCAGGCAGCGAGTTTGTGTGTGTGTGTGTGTGTGTGTGTGTGTGTGTGTGGTAATTTGTGTTTATGCGAGAATCAAGTATATGCAAGGATCGAATTTATATGTATGTGTGTGTGTGTGTGTGTGTTAATGTGGGAGTATACGCAAGGATCGAGTTTATGTGCGTGTGTATGCGTGCATCAAGTGTATATGCGCAAGTTTCAACATAGTGTAGGTTTATATGCCAGTCATTTATTGGTGTATATGCACGTGTTGATAAGCGAAGTTTGATTTAAATCCTACACGGCGCCTTAGCCATCTGGGTTTGCTTCATTGCCTTCTCTTCTGACAGCGAGGGTGTCGGGGAGGTGGATGGTGAGGCGACAGGTTGGCTTAAACTTTTATGATGCCTTATCTTCTGACTCTCAGTAATTTTTATCGAGTGGAAGAGATTTGATGCGTTCCTGCTGCTAGTCGGCACCACTCTCCCGCACATTTTGCAGAAACTTAAAAAGCCGAACCACATTTGTTGCACTCATTTTGTAGCTAAAACTTTCCGTGACGGAGCTTATTTAACCAGCTGCTGAGCGCTGGCTGCGTGTCTGTGATGTACGTTATCACGTAAGTGACATCACGCTCTTTCTGACGGCTGAGCACTGAAAGTCATTCGGTGACAAATGATACAATGTATAAGGTCTTATATATAATTAAATATACATATGCAAATTTATATCGAAATACCGGAAATGGGTTTAAAACTCATATCACCGTTATTGAAAAAAAAATCTATTGTGATATATATTGATATCGAGTTATTGTCCAGCCCTATTTAAGGTCAATATTATTAGCCTCCTTAAGCTATATATTTTTTGATAGTCTATAGAAACAAACTATCGTTATATAATAACTTGCCTAATTACTCTAACCTGCATAGTTAACCTAGTTAAGCTTGAAAAATGATGGCAAATATAAAATAAAAATGGGGGAAAACAATAAACGGGAGCGAATGATTCTGACTTCAACTATATATGTATAACTATATATATATATATATGGGCATTTATGCAGAAGGATTTTAAAAGTTTAGTAACTAAAAATTTTACACAAAAACTAACTTTTTAACTTTTACTTAAAGTTTACAATGCAAATTGTAATGTCACAAACCCCAGATATCTTTGTTGTTGTCCTTCATTAGCTATTGGCTGTGTTGCCAACTTAGCGACTTTGTCGGTATATTTAGCAGCTTTTGAGAGACAAATTTTCAAAAAAGCGACTAGCGACAAATCTAGCAACTTTTTTGTGTGTTACTGGAGATTCATACTGTACCGTCTCTACTCTTCTTAATGATTACGTTTACATGGACATCAGTAATAAAATTATTATTTACTAATTAAAAGAATAATAAGACTAATGTGTTTACATGAGTTGCATTTTGAGTGTTACTTTCATGATCTTGTTTTACATGTTATAGCACATAATTCGATAAACGTCATTGCGTCACCGCGCTATCCACATTTCCTCCGGAGTTTCATGCAATTTCGGGTGTTTCATTATTAATTTGTCGACTTTAACTGCAGTTTGGCACTTTCACTTTCATTCGCGAACATTTCCTGCATTAACATCCTGCATCTCCTATATAATTAAATATACATATGCAAATTTATATCGAAATACCGGAAATGAGTTTAAAACTCAGATCACCGTTAGTGAAAAAAAAATCTATCGCAATATATATTGATATCGAATTATTGTCCAGCCCTATTTAAGGTCAATATTATTAGCCTCCTTAAGATATATATATTTTTTGATAGTCTATAGAAACAAACTATCGTTATATAATAACTTGCCTAATTACTCTAACCTGCATAGTTAACCTAATTAAGCTTGAAAAATCATGGCAAATATAAAATAAATCATTTATTAAAGTTTTTAAGGCTGCTTTCACACCTGTGAATCGATTCAGTTGTTCCAAAACAGAGATTACAATTGTTACATTGTTGCTCTTTGCTCTTGGAGCGGTTCGCTTTCACACTGCAAAGTTTCTAATTGGACCTAAAGAGCTAAAACAAATCACGTGTGAGTAAACTCTCCTCACGTTGGTCAGAGTGTCAGGGTTTATTTTGCAGCATCCCGCTAAGCTGTCAGGAGAGGTGGTGGTTTGGTGGTGATTGACAGGGTGCGCGCGCGACGTGTCTGAGGAGAGATGTGGTGGGGAGGGGTGAGAAGGGTGTGCGACGATGCCTATTTGAGGACCGGGAGGGAGACGCGAGATTACCGGGAGATCATCACTCGTTTGCAGGCATCCGGAGACTCGCGAAACTTCCCGCCCTACTCATAATTCTCTCTTCATATAGCCGTAAGCCTATTACATATCCATAAAACACTGTGATATAACCGCGCTCGGATCGTATCGCTTTCTCACTGCAATCAAACCGCTCCAGGGTTCTTTTCAATCGAGCCGAGACCACCTCATTCAAGCAATCTCGGAGCGATTACTTTGGCGCGGAACAGAGCGCGATTGCCCTGTTAACATATGCCAAACAAACCGCGCTAACTGGGCAAACGAGACACATTCTGAAACAAAAGTGTAGGTGTGAAAGCACCCTAAAACTATTATGTTGAGAAATGTATTGTAAAAAATCTCTCCGTTAAACAGAAAATGGGGGAAAACAATAAATATATTACATAAAACAATATTAAATATTGTATATTAAAACAATAAATTCGTAACTACCCACCTCTGAAAATGAAGATGAATTACAACAATATAAACTAATAGTTAGGCTTTTACAAGGAGATAAGCAGAGGACCCAATAAGGAGCCCTGTTGCACTCCATACAAGTTTTTACGTGTGTCAGTTTATGCCTTTAAATTGGGGTTAAGAGATGAGGTTCTCAAGGTGAATGCGTACCCTGGCACTAAAGCCTGATTTATACTTCTGCGTCAAGTGACCGGCGTAACCCACGGCGCATGCAACGAGCGTGGCTGTGCATTTATACTTCTGCGCGCTGTCTCTTTTGGTCTGCATTAACACTTCCGAAACGCTAGTTGGCAGTGAGGTTTAAATCTTCCTCTGTGTCGAGTTTCTTCGCTGCTTTTTTGCTTTTCCTGAACACTTCCGGGATGTACAAGTGGCTTAAACTCGCTCATTTTGAGGCAGGAACCGGCGGACGTGCAACAACTTTAACTATGAGGTAAACACAAAACAAAACTTTCCATCCGGAGCTCCTTCACGGGACGCTACACTTGTAAACAATCGCTCGCGCCATTCGCGCGGCTCTCAATCCCGCCCAGACTCGTCAACGCTACCAAGCCGACTAATCACAGAGCTTGCGCTACGCCTTGTTGCGATGTGTAGTTACATTTTTTGAGAGGTGCACGTCAGTGACGCCGATGGCCATGGCGAAGGGCTATGTTTAGGGTCACACAACAAAAAATAAGGACAAGAATCTTGGTGTGACTCTGGAGTCACATCTGAGTTTTAATAGTCAGGTCAAAGCAGTCAGTAAATCAGCATACTATCATCTCAAAAACATTGCAAGAATCAGATGCTTTGTTTCCAGTGAAGACTTAGAGAAACTTGTTCATGCTTGTATCAGCAGCAGGATAGATTACTGTAACGGCCTCCTCACGGGCCTTCCCAAAAAGACAGTAAGACAGAACGCTGCCGCCAGGATTCTGACCAGAAGCAGGAAATCAGAGCACATCACACCTGTCCTCAGGTCTCTACACTGGCTGCCAGTTACATTCAGAATAGATTTTAAAGTATTATTACTGGTCTATAAATCACTAAATGGCCTAGGAGCTCAATACATTACAGATATGCTCACTGAATACAAACCTAACAGATCACTCAGATCTTAAGGTTCAAATAAACTAGAAGTTCCAAGAGTTCAGTCAAAGTAGGTTGAATCAGCTTTCAGCAACTATGACCCTCGCTGCTGGAATCAGCTTCCAGAAATGATCAGATGTGCTCCAACATTAGGCACGTTCAAATCAAGACTGAAAACACATCCGTTTAGCTGAGCCTTTACTGAATGAGCACTGTGCTGCGTCCGACAGACGCACTGTACATCTGTGTATGAAATGTGCTACACAAATAAACTTGCCTTGCCTTAACTTGTGTTTTTCCACTTTAGGGCTGATGGTGCTGAAACAAGAGACTCAGAACCTGAATGAAATGGAAGAGAAAGATCAGTATGGAAAACACCAAGATTTAATCACTGAAGAAAAACCCACAATAACAAGAAACACTTCACGTAAAAAGGCTAAGAAAACCAAACCTTTCATCTGTCACTGTGGAAAACGCTTCACTCAAAAAAGCAACCTTAAAGTCCACATGAGAGTTCACACAGGAGAGAAGCCTATAGCATGCGATCAGTGTGGAAAGGGATTCGCTCACAAACAGAACCTTACAGTGCACATGAGAGTTCACACCGGAGAGAAGCCTTTCCCCTGCCAGTACTGTGGAAAGAGATTCAGGCAGTTGCAAAACCTTAAATTTCACATTACCGCTCACACTGGAGAGAAGCCGTACACCTGCCCTCACTGCCCGAAGAGTTTTGATCGAAAGAAAAAATGCGAAAAGCACATAAGAGTTCACACCGGAGAGAAACCATTCGCCTGCCAGCAGTGCGGAAGGAGCCTCGCTAGTAAAGATCTGCTCAAAAAACACTTGAAAATTCACAGCGGGGAGAGACCTTACACCTGCCAAGAATGTGGGAAGAGTTTCACTGAAACAGAACGCCTTAGAGTCCACATGAGGATTCACACCGGAGAGAGACCTTACACTTGCTCACAGTGCGGGAAGAGTTACACACAGAAAAACTGCCTTGATTACCACGTGAGGATTCACACCGGAGAGAAACCGTACAACTGCACACAGTGCGGCAAAAGCTTTAAATGTAGAACCTCGCAAATCCGCCACATGAACATTCACACTGGAGAGAAGCCGTTCGCGTGTGTTCAATGCGGAAAGAGTTTTGCACAAGAGTTTCACCTGAGGAATCACGTTATTTGTCACACCGGAGCGAAACCTTTTACGTGTGACCAGTGCGGAAAGAGTTTTACGCGTAAAGATAACCTTAAAGAGCACAAGACCATTCACACAAATGATAAATCCTTTATATGTGATCAGTGCGGGAAGGGATTTACACGTAAAGACTACCTCAGCCAGCACATGAAGATTCACACGAAACAGATTGTATGTCCTCGGTGTGGAAAGAGTTTCGCTCAGAAGAGGAACTTCAACTTGCACACTGCCAGGTGTAGCATCTGATCAGACACTGTATTACCTACCAAATATGATAAACAGCAACCCCCACTCGACAACCAGGCCATGTGTTACTCATACTCCCCCAATACCTGAACTCAGGGCAAGTCTCTGATAACTGTGGTAAGGGTTTATTGCACTAAAGCATTTGAGTTTGCCTCTGAACTCTAAAACAGGGGTCACCAATTTCGATCTTGGAGGTCCGGTGCTGTGCAGGGTTTAGCTCCGACTTGCCTCAACGCACCTGCCTGGCTGGTACAAGTATACCTAGTAAGACCTTGATTTGCTTGTTCAGGTGTGTTTGATTAGGGTTGGAGCTAAAATCTGCAGGACACCGGACCTCCAGGAACAAGTTCGGTGACCCCTGCTCTAAAAAATGCACTTAGTTTATCACACTAAAGCATTTACCTGTTTGTAATGTTGCCATTCCTTTTCACAACACTTAAAACACAATTAGGAACTGAAGAAACCAAGTGATTTTGGTGTAATTTTGTCCTGCAAACAAATCTTAAGGTGAGCAACAGTATGGGGTCTCCGTTGTCGCATTTTGCGCACTCTTGGAGACAGGTCAGGACTCCAGGCAGGCTAGTCAAGTACCTGTACCCTCTTCCTCCACAGGCAGGACTTTGTAATGAGTGCAGAATGTGGTTTTGCATTGTTGCGTTGACACAACCCCCTTGACAGACCCTGACTTTGGGACTTGTTCCTCTCTGAATGATCCGCTTCTTCTTTGGTCCAGGGCACACAACATCCATTTCTCCCAAAAATACCTGAAATACTGATTCATCTGACCAGAGTACAGGTTTGCACTTTGTGAGGGTCCATCCCAGATACCTCAGAGCCCAGAGAAGCGCTTCTGGACACTCTTAACATAGAGCTTCCTTTTGGCACTGTACAGTTTTCACTGACATTCGTGGATGTAACTACATATTGTGGTACTTGACAAAGGTTTGCTGCAGTAGTCCTGAGCCCATGCGGTGATATCGCTTATAGATGAATGAGGATTCTTGATGCAGCGCCACCTGAGGGATCAGAGATCACAGTAGTTCAGCTTAGGCTTGTGCCCTTGTCATTTATGCACTGAAATTCCTCCAGATTTCTTGAATATTTTAATGATTTTCTGCACTGTTGAAGGTGAAATATCTAAATGTCTTCCTTTTTTTTTCTTTGAAGAACATTGCTTTTAAACATTTCAATAATTTTCTCATGTATTTGTTGTCAAACTGGTGTTTCTTGGCCCATCTTTGTTCCTAAAGGACTAGACCAGGGATGGCCAACCCTGTTCCTACAGAGCCACCTTCCTGCAGATTTCAGTTGCTACCCATATCAAACACACCTGAACCAGATAATTAGGACCTGAACACCACATGATAATTACAGGCAGGTGTGTTTGATATAGGTTGCGACTGAAATCTGCTGGAAGGTGGCTCTCCAGGAACAGGGTTGGCCACCCCTGGTATAGACCTTTCTTGGATGCTGCTTTTGAACCAAATCATAATTGCAATCAACTGTTGACATCACCTGTTTCAAATCACATCATTATATAACCAGTTTACCCGATTACTAGCCCTAAACTGCTCATGTCCCAACTCTTTTGGAAAGTGTTGCAGGTCTGAATGACAGGAAAGGATGTAAATTTACAAATGAAATGAAGTTGACCAGGCAAAACATGAATTGTTTTGTGTTCACATTGTCTGCGATGAAATACAAGTCAAAGTAAATTCGGAAATCTCTACTTTCCATACAGTCTCAACTTTTTCTGATTTAGGGTTGTACATAAAACTAATTCAAATGCACATAATCATAATAGTTATGATTAATTAGTCATTTTCCCCCGTGAGCTAGTTACATATAGGTGTGTGTTAGATCTGAGTTTCCACGTTGCAGTTTGACAGGTTCATTTTAACTTTATCCAAAAGGTAAGGGAGGCAGATCATTTCAAAGACTGTAGTTCGCAAACCATTTTATTGTATTTTTGGGCTGAATTGATGTAATAAAATTGTTCATGCGCTGCAAACTTTGTTTATTTAAAACTTATTTACTGAAGTCATAATTACTGAAGAGGTCATGCATATGAAAGAATATTTTTTTTCAGGCTTTTATTTTCTCATGAAGTGCAGTTGTCAAGAAAAAGTTTTCTCTTCATCACGACTTATTTATGTCTGCTTAAAATATTATTAATTATTATTATTGTCTGCCCACCAGCATTCTTGTTGCATTGCAGAAGAATAAATGAAAACATGGTTGCTTATACTTTTATTTTAGTACAATATTATTATCAATAAACAAGAAGTCCCATCTTCCACATGTAATCATGTTTAGCATTTGTGTTTACGTAGGGCAGCAGTTGGGTCTGAATCTAATAATTTATTATTTGATTATTATTTATATTAATTATACTGATAACAAAGAGAGGTGCAGACATGCAAGACATTAAGGGTGTTTATCAGAACAACAGCCATGTAATAATCTGACATGAGTGCAAACGAACTTGATTAAATTATTAATAGTCTTGTATGTGATTTTATAATTATTCACGTTAATAATCCTTTACTGTTTGTACCATTTTAGTGAGTAGGTAATGGATGCAAAGTAATCAGTGACATGAATTATATAATAAATGATGATGATGGTCATACTTTTAATTTAATGTTTTTGCAAAGTAATTTTTAAAAATTTCCGTTACAAAAACAACCATACACAGAGGCTTTGTTTACTTTTATGTAAAGCATTTGTGTAACTTTCATTTAAACAAAATGTTCTGCGGACTATTGATACTCCTGGGCATTATGTTTTGCCTTGTTAGACTCTTATTTTGAATCTGGATTATGACGTCATAAATCAGCGCCGCACTCCCGTATATGCGGTTGAGCAAGAGGAAGGTTTGTGTTTTAAAGCATTTAAGCGGTTTAAATCCATTGACAGTATTGTAGTTTATTTTACAAACGATGCCAAACGAATTGTCATTAAATGTAGCATGTAATATTTTATCTAACTTTTTAAATTATTATTTTAAGCGTAGATGTGTAACGTTAAGCAGAAAAGGCGCTTCTCGTTTCTCTCTCTGTATCGTCGGTCTGCTAGTAAACATGAGTTCAGTCACTGGCGATTAGAGATGAGGTGCTTTTCAAAGCTCAGAGTCATTTGAATCACGTTTTCCTAAATGATTCACTGAATCGATCGAATCGCCGTGCGCTGACGTCATCTGACGGTCAAAACTGTCAACACACTCAAGCCAGGTTTACAAGCTGTCAATGCTTTCATGAACGTGTAATATTAATTGTATTGGTCGATACATTTAAAAATATATATATTATTTCTGTTATTTTTCTCATCTTTAACAGAGTAAAGTGAAGGAAAGAGTAAAGAAAAGTGACTGAGATCTACACTATTGTAAAGATGGCGTTTGTTAAAGAGGAGAGTGAAGGTCTGAGGATTACAGAAGTGTTCACACTGAAACATGAAGATCCTGAGGAACAAACAGGTCAGTTTTTATTTCTCCAAGCTCAACTTAGAGTCATTTAATCCTCAATCAAATGCGCAGCTCTAAATAAATGAATCATATTTTAGAGTAATCTCGAGTGTTTTGATAAGTTTTGTTTGACATAAAGTGGCTCACATGATCAAACGAACTCTAACAAGTTGTACAATTGTTACTACGTGTTGCGTGTCAATAAAAGAATGTTCTGGAGTGCATTATTCTGCTTTTACTACATTTCCCACAGCTGTAGCTACTCTTCAGATGATGTGACCCTGCTGAAAAATCCAGCTTAAACCAGCCCAGGCTGGTTTTAGCTGGTCGACCAGGCTGGTTTTAGAGGGGTTTTGGCCATTTCCAGGCTGATTTCCAGCCTGGTCTTAGCTGGTCAGGCTGGAAAATGACCAGCCAAATCCAGCTAAAACCAGCTTGACCAGCCTGGTTTAAGCTGGATATAGCTGGTTTTGGCTGGACTCCCAGCTTGGCTAGGCTGGTCAAGATGGTTTTAGCTGGTCATCTCCCAGCCTGACCAGCTAAGACCAGGCTGGAAAAGGCTGGAAAACAGCCTGGAAGTGGCCAAAACCCCTCTAAAAACCAGCCTGGTTGACCAGCTAAAACCAGCCAACCAGCCTAGGCTGGATTTTTCAGTAGGGTTTTAGACGTTTGTCAGGTTTTTCAGCATTGTATGGTTCAAAAACACCATATGAGCAATTCCATGAAAATGTCAACCTTGTCATGGAAAAAATAAACTTTTGACCAAAATAACAAAACCAATTTAAATCTGCTCATTAAGGTCGATAAATTATTTACATAATATATGTACTTTCTTTTAAAGGAAATTGCTCTGTTTATCCATGAAATATGAGGATTGTGCCAAAAGTAAATTTCATTATCATCCAACCACATTTCGTGCTTTCAAAAAAGGGTTAAAGACTCTCCCTTTCCTTGCTTTATGTTAACTGTAAGCATTCTGCAGAAGGATTACGCTCTGTAGTATAAAATACCCTCCCTTTTTCGTGACATTACTGCCCTTTTAATTTATGAGCTACATATTGAAGACGTCACGCAGCTTTGATCACGTGTCACATCCGTAACGATTTAATGAAAACGTTTATATTGTGTATTGAATATTACCACAAATAAAATGAAACTTTGTATACAAAGCCAAAATATGACCATGCTTATTATGATCGACAACTCATCACAACTCAATTTTGCGTTGTGTACGTGATCATTTTGAACTCCCTATTAATATAAGCCAGTGACTAGCGCATATTTGCTGCATTACAATTACTGACTTACAATACATAATATCCATGTGTTATATCAAGAACTGAACATTTCAGTTAAATATAAACCACTTTAGTAACATTTCAGAAATAAATGTTTAATAACGAGAATAGGGCTGCACGATACATTGTTTCAGCACCGAAATCGCGATGTGCGCATCCGCGATAGTCACATCACAGGAGGTGCCAGATGCAAAAAAAATAAAAATTTATATATATTATGGGTGGAGCCGAACCCGAATACGGTATTCGGATAAGCACGATTAACGTGTTTTTACCAATACTTATTTCGAACAAATACTTGAAAAATTATTTGCATTCGGGAACAAGAAAATCATTACATCAAAAAACTGCGTTTCCTCATGAGACCGCAGTGCATGCCCGTGTAAGCGAGTGAGTGAGTGAGTGAGACAGACGTTCAGGAGTCAGGGGACGGGGTGGGGCCGGGGTAAAAGGTGACTGACGCAGACTGCTGCTCCACACAGCAACAGAGAAGGCTTGGCAGAGCAAAAAATACTTTACTGCATTACTATTTTTTGTTAAATAAATTTTTGTATCTGAACTGGGTTCCAGAGGCAGTTTATAAACTTTGTAGCGTACTTAAAGCGGAGTTTGATCGGTATATTATTCCATTACGCTGCATTATTGACGTCTGCAATCTGTTGCTCTCCGTTTACGTAAGTTAACTCTGTTAGCGCGGTAATTAAGACAATAGACTGTCGACAGAGTAACGTTAACGTTCGTTTATAAAGGTTAAAACGATGCTTGTGTAGTTGTGTCGAATTGTATGCACTTATAGGAGTTTTATGGTACGTTTAAATTTCTGTCATTTGCAGACAGCAAGATAAATGCTAAGCTAGTTAACCTTAGCATAGCTTCCCGTCACTCATAGATATATACATCTATGCCCGTCACTTATTAACTTTTAGGCACCCAAATAAGTAAGAGTGAGGCTGCTACTGAGTCATTCTTGGTCCTCCACCAGCCAAAAAAAAAAACTTGCTCTAGTTCTTTGTGGAAGAATTTTACAGTCAGTGGTGCAGCAGATAAAACAGTGATACTGTATGTAATTTGTGCAAAAGTATATCTTAAGTATATATATATCAATAAAATATCAATAAAAAATTGATATTGTGATATTTTTTTCCCTGCGATATATATGTATATATATATATATATATATATATATCGCAATATATATCGCAGGGAAAAAACTCGTGTCTTTCTTTGTCACGTCCGTATCGCATTTATTTTGCGTCATTTTAAATATAAAACACATGTATAGACTGATATTTTTTGATGCCTGAACTCCATGGTTAAGGGCTAAGAAAAATATAAACAGATATTTCTATATACTGGTTAGCATATACCTTCTCTGAGTACATACGTTTCATTTTTTTTACTGCAAATGTCACATCCTTAACGCTGGAGTAAGTAATAAGCTTAATATAAATTACTATAGTACAGGGCTGCACAATCATTTAGGCCTGTCACAATAATCAATATATAAACTTATCACACAACACATGGACATGACCGCAATCGTTTTTGGTGGTTTAAAATGTATCGTCCATACATGTATAACCCGGTTCTAGCCGGCAGCTAGCTCTCTGCAACTCTCACATGGTCGTCCACTGAAGCTAAGCAGGGCTGCGCCCGGTCAGTACCTGAATGGGAGACCACATGGGAAAGCTAGGTTGCTGCCGGAAGTGGTGTTAGTGAGGCCAACAGTGGGCGCCCAACCTGTGGTCTGTTTGGGTCCTAATGCCCCAGTATAGTGATGGGGACTCTATACTGCTCAGTGAGCGCCGTCTTTCGGATGACACGTTAAACCGAGGTCCCGACTCTTTGTGGTCGTTAAAAATCCCAGGATGTCCTTCGAAAAAGAGTAGGGGTTTAACCCCGGCATCCTGGCCAAATCTGCCCACTGGCCTCCTAACCCTCCCCATATCATAATTGGCTTATCATCACTCTCTTTTCCACCAATCAGCTGGTGTGTTGTGTGCGGTCTGGCGCAAAAATGGCTGCCGTCACGTCATCCCCCCATTGTGTAAAGCGCTTTGAGTGTCCAGAAAAGCGCTATATAAATGTGAGGAATTATTAATTGTTATTATTATTATTAGCAACATTTCAGCTGATTGTGCAACCTCTCTATCACTATTGGAGGTGTCTGTCAGTATAGTTAATAAAACACACCATAGTATTTACTACAAATTACTATAGTATATTTCCATGTGGGTGTCTGACAGCTGAAAATAGATCTGGTACACTGCAAAAAATGCCTTTCTTACTTAGATGTTTTGTCTTGTTTCTAGTCCAAAAATCTAAAACTTCCTAAATCAAGAGGCATTTTCTAGACAAGCAAAACATATTGTCTTGTTTTAAGATATAATATGCCAATATTAAGTGAGTTTTTCCTTAAAACAAGCAAAATAATCCGCCAATGGGGTTAGCAAAATAATCTTACATCAAAAGAAAAAACTAGATTAATTTGCTAACCCCATTGGCAGATTATTTTGCTTGTTTTGAGGAAAAACTCACTTAATATTGGCATATTATTTCTCAAAACAAGACAATATGTTTTGCTTGTCTTGAAAATGCTTCTTGATATAAGAAATTTTAGATATTTGGACAAGAAACAAGACAAAAAATCTAAGCAAGAAAAGCATTTTTTTGCAGTGTAGCAGATGTCGCAGCCTCTGTTGCTCTTCGCCTTGCACTTTTTTCCTCATTATTTATTATTTATTTAGGCTATGCGTTTCACATTCTACGGAACCCCGGAAGGGACGTAGTGGAGGAGAAAAAAAATGGGTGGGTGAAAAAAAAAATGGGTGAAAGAAAAAAAATGGATGGGAGGAAAATATATATTTCTAAGTTTTTTGCGTTCTCTCGCAAAGTTTTGCGTTCCCTCGCAAAGATGTTTTGCGTTTTCTCGCAAAGATGTTTTGCGTTCCCTCGCAAAGATGTTTTGCGTTATCTCGCAAAGATGTTTTGCGTTCTCTCGCAAAACTGTTTCTCCACAAACACTTCCTGTTCACTGCACTCACGTAAACCCTCCCGTTTTTGCCGAAATTCTCCCGTATTTTACCATTCTACCCCACTTTCTTTACATTACTGTGCGTATGCTACCTCTGAACCAGTGAATGCATGTATAAGCGCTGACTGACAGACGCGCTTCGTACAATAAACTGATCCCAGATCAGCGTCTGTACACGCCCTTTACAGAGGAGCGGGTATATGTTTAAACAGACAAATACACTGAATAATATGGAGTTTTTAAAGTAATGGACTGCTTTCATTATAGATCTGTGCATTCTTACAGAGACACCTCTGTTATCAAACTAAACAAAACATGAGATTCATTTGCTGCGCACTTGTTTGATAACAGAAGTGTCCCTTTAAATGGCGCGTACAGACGCTGATCTGGGATCAGTTTATTGTATGGAGCGCGTCTGTCAGTCAGCGCTTAAACGTGCATTCACTGGTTCAGAGGTTGCAAAGTGAAAGGCGACAATCAGCGCACAGTAATGTAAAGAAAGTGGGACAGAATGGTAAAATATGGGAGAATTTCAGCAAAAACGGGAGGGTTTACGTGAGTGCAGTGAACAGGAAGTGTTTGTGGAGAAACAGTTTTGCGAGAGAACGCAAAACATCTTTGCGAGGGAACGCAAAACATCTTTGCGAGATAACGCAAAACATCTTTGCGAGGGAACGCAAAACTTGGCAAGAGAACGCAAAAAACTTAGAAATATATATTTTCCTCCCACCCATTTTTTTTCTTTCACCCATTTTTTTTTTTTCACCCACCCATTTTTTTTCTCCTCCACTACGTCCCTTCCGGGGTTCCGTAACATTCTGATTCCAATGCCTGATTATTAAATTGTTAAAATGACTGTAATGAAATATTCTTAAGAATAAAATATGTGTACTTTGGAAGAGTGCACTTGCATTGTGATGATATTATATTTTCATTATGGCATTGTATAAAGAGTGGCATGAAATGGCGTTAAAATGACAATAATATCCTACTTTAACAGTAGTTTGAAAAAAAAAAAGTGCTGTTCATACAAGCAACCAATGTTCTGTACATTTTCTGGAAAGAACCATATATAAGTATGTTTCAAAATACTGGTAACAGCGATGTGATTTGTCCATATAAATATGGATTTTCGTATTTTCTGAGTGTAAACCCGCCGGTCCTACACCACCCAACCCGCTCCGGACTGGGATCGAAGCGGCGACTTTCCGCATGGGAGTCGGTTGCTCTAACAAGGAGGCTAAAGACCATGGCCTCTAGCGTCTGTCGCTAGAGCACCTTTAGAGGTCAGAGGAGTGAGGTTTACCTGCACAGCACTCATTAGCTGGCCTCCATTACACTCAATTTAACCCCGCAGGTCCTACACCAACCAGCCTGCTCAGAGCTGGGATCGAACCAGCAATCTTCCGAATGGATGTCGGTTGCTCTACCAAGGAGGCTAAAGACCATGGCTTCTAGCGTCTGTCTCTAGAGCACCTTTAGAGGTCAGAGGAGTGAGGTTTACCTGCACAGCACTTACTAGCTGGCCTCCGTTACACGAGCTTAGTGTTTCCCCTAAATTTACAGTTTTGGTGCGGTGTGGTGCGGCTATTCAGACTGACACCAACACAAACACAAGAAGTCATGGTGTTATGTGTTTCTTTTAGTGACAGCAGTACATACCTGAACAGTTATTTGAACTGTACATCTGTGCAAGCTAAAAATTAAATGTATTTGTATTTTTTATAATTCGTCTCGACCTGCAAATACATTGTTACGAATTCAATTAAAAATCCTTAATCAAAAAGAAGTTTAACCAAAACGTAGCAAGATAACGGGGATTAAAAAACATGATCCCTGCTGCCCCCGTGCTCTCTCCACCAAAACACAAACCAATGAAGGGCGTCACGCACTGGATGCACCGCAACACGGCACACACATGACAATGAAAAGTATCGCACACCCAGGGCCGGCGCGTCCATAGAGGAGACCTAGGCGGCCGCCTAGGGCGGCAGTATAGAGAGGGCGGCATCCGCGACACCTCCCTTACCACCCGCATCCTCAGTTATGTCCGCAACACCTCCCTCACCACCCGCGTCCTCAGATATATTTGCGCATAGACGACAGAATAGAGAGGGCGGCGTCAGCGACACCTCCATCAGCACCCGCGTGTCCTTAGTTATATCCGCGCATAGGGCGGCAGAACTAAGGGTCCGCGACACCCGCGCGTACTCAGTTATATCCGCGAATAGGCCGGCAGAATAGAGAGCGTAGTGTCCGCGACACCTCCCTCCCTCAGCACCTGCACATCCTCAGTTATATCCGCGCATAATGCGCTGGAAAAGAGGTCCGTGACACCTCACATCATTTTCATAACCGGTCACTTTCCTTTTCACATTGGGGTTGAGGGCGGCGTGATCGTCCTCTGCCTAGAGCGGCAGTTCAACTTGCTCCGGCCCTGCGCACACCAGACGCGCATATTCGTATGATATTTAAAATTAAACCAATCAGATGGCGCTCTGTGGCGCGGCAGAAATATGAACAGTGTCCTGAGTCGTGGCTGGGCGCCACAGACAACCGCCGACTTGCGCCGCCGGTGTGTGTACCCTGATAGAAACCTATGTTTAGAATTGTAAAATGCGCGACACGGCACTTCTGGTGTGTGACCCCTTTGAGAATTAACAGGAAAATGTGATTTATTTACAGAAAATAAGGAGCAAAATACCATCGGGAGGGGGGTAACCAAAATAAATGACAATAAACCAAACTAACTACATTAGAGAAAACTTCCCTGGAAAATAGATACGAAAATAAAATACAGAAAACTTACCTCCCTACTAACAACACGAAAATAATAAACAGAAGGCACCAAACCTCCCTACCATGCTCCAAGCCAGGCAGGCAGGGATACAGAAAACCGGATTTCTCCGGTTAAAATTTACAATTTTACATCGGCATCTCACAGAACGCCATATAAGAGACTTCAGCAACTCAAGTAACAACATCTCCACAAACAAAAGCCTCTGAATCAATGTTGTCAGTAGTGTTAAATATGGCCGCCGCTAATCGCAATCAACAGTAATCGGCTGCACCTGCGAATAATTCAAACCAAGAGAGAGAGATTGAAATAGAGCGAGAGAAAGAAAAACGCCACACACATACTACAACTACTCGTAACAATTAACTGTTAAAATTTATCTTAAAGCAGCGAATGCTGTTGTAAAAAGAATTCATGGTTGAGAAGTCCCTCTGACGCCCCATTCACACGGGGCTTCAGTGTTAACGCTTGACTGAGGGCGTGTCTGAAGTTGGGGCTGAAGCGATCGACATAGAAGCGTCAGCCAATGAAATTCAGTCTGCAATAGGCCACTGTCCAGTTGGTGTATTTGCATACAGCGATCTGATTGGCTGACGCTTCCGTTGGCGCTTAAAAAGTTGAGCTTGTTCCAACTTCTGCAGCGAGCAACGCCTCTGAATCTGCACTGACGGATCCACAATTCAGTTCGGCATTGAATGACGTCACCCATTCAAAGTGAATGGGAAGCGTTGACGCTGACACCCCGTGTGAATAGGGCGTTACAGTTTACACTGCTGACTGGGACCGTCATGACAATAGAAGCCATTTAAAACTTAAAATAGAAAACTGTACTCTTAAAAACTAGAAAGGCGATCAGTTTGTCTGAAGCGCTATTAGTACACAAATGCACTACTAGCACATTGATATCAGTATACTTAAAGTTTACTTTTATACTTGACTTTTGAGTCTCATTCGTTGAGATGAACGAATCTTTTTTTCGAGTCATTTCGTTCATTTTACCAAAATATGATTAAAATGTTACGAGTTTCGGCTGCGAGGTGGCGCAGTGGGTAGCACGTTTTTGTAAGATATTACATACAGCAATTTAGCTTGTTTATTAAAAGAACTTGGCGCTATATATAACGTACAATTAACTTTACTTCAAGGGGGGTGGGGAAAGCCGGTGGGAGGGCGGGGCGCCTTCATTATTCATCGTTGTGCAAAAGAAGTAACTGCTTTATTCTGGACATCATTCAGGGTTGTGATTGTAGACCTACCTCGGCTACTGTGTGTATAATATAAGGATGTTGTGTACTCCTATAATGTTCGGTGAACTGATGACCTTTACAGCCAATCACAGTCAATTCTGTTGCGACAAGACTTCCTTGTGCATTTTACTAACTCTAAATGTAATGTTTTACTAATACTTGTGTGTAGGCGAAGCAGTGGCGCAGTAGGTAGTGCTGTCGCCTCTCAGCAAGAAGGTCGCTGGTTTGAAGGTTCGAACCTCGGCTCAGTTGGTATTTCTGTGAGGAGTTTGCATGCGTTCGCGTGGGTTTCCTCTGGGTGCTCCAGTTTCCCCTACAGTCCAAAGACATGCTGCAGGTGAATTGGGTAGGCTAAATTGTCCGAAGTGTATAAGGGTGACAGGCCCAGACGACAGGCCGGCCGGAATATGTAAAAAAGTTGTTATCGTATGGATAAGTCTAAATGGAGGACTTGTTCCAAAGAGCCGACCCCGCAACCATACGGGACTAAGGCCAAAGAAGAAGAAGACTAATACTTGTGCGTAATTACATGTCTAAAACATAAATGCTAAGACAACGCGTCAAAAGCTCAGTTTGAATTATTTCAGTTGCCGCAGGGTAAACAAGCTAACGTTAACTTGTCATGCTTGTCACGAGTAAACAAATGAGGGACAAATTCATTTGTTGGTTTTGAATTGCAATACCTAAATCAACCACTGGGTGTAAATCTTCCATTAATTTTCCCTCGGCTTAGTCCTTAATTTATCAGGGGTCGCCACAGCTGAATGAACAGCCAACTATTTCAGCAAATGTTTTACGCAGCGGATGCCCTTCCAACCACAACCCAGTACAGGGAAACACCCATACACTCTTGTATTCACACACACACAGTCATACACTGCGGCCAATATAGTTCATCAAATTCATCTATAGTGCAAGTGTTTGGACTGTGGGGGAAACCGGAGCATCCGGAAGAAACCCACGCCGGAGAACATGCAAATTCCACATAGAAGTGCCAACTAGCCAGCCAGGACTTGAACCAGCAACCTTGCTATGAGGTGTAAATCTTACATACTGCACCTTTAATTTTAGTGTATAAACACTGCATTATCACACACACTTTGCTGTTACTAAAATCACAGTGGATTTTCAGTGAAAACAATTATAAAGAGATAATCAGAGGACCCAATACTGAGCCCTGTGGCACTCCCTACAAGTTTTCATGTCTGTGCTTGCTCGTGTAACTGGGGTTAACTGTTTCTGTTTTACACTTTAGAGCTGATGATGCTGAAAGAAGAGACTCAAGAACTGGATGAAGTAGAAGAGAATGATCTGCATGAGGAACACCAAGATTTAAGAACTGCTGAACCATCCTCAATGACAAAAAACACTTTTAAAACCAAATCTACGAGTTTGTTCACGTGTCGTCAGTGTGGGAAACAATTCACTCTAAAATCCAACCTCAAAGATCACATGAGAATTCACACTGGAGAGAACCTTATAAAATGTGACGAGTGCGGAAAGAGTTTCACCAGAAAAGGTAATTTCGAAAAGCACATGAGAACCCACACCAGAGAGAAGCCTTACTGGTGTACCGAGTGTGGAAAGAGTTTCAGTCAAAAGCACAACCTTGAGGTGCACATGAGAATTCACACCGGAGAGAAGCCTTTTCCCTGTCAGCAATGCGGAAAGAGATTCCGGCAAATACAAAACCTTAAACTTCACATCACCATTCACACCGGAGAGAAGCCGTATGCCTGCCCTCATTGTCCAAAGAGTTTCAATCAAAAGAAGAAATGTGAAACGCACATGACCATTCACACCGGAGAGAAACCCTTCGCCTGCCAGCACTGTGGAAGATGTCTTGCTAATAAAGATCTACTTAACAAGCACATAAAAATTCACATGGAAGACAAGCCTTTCACCTGCCCACCTTGTGGAAAGAGTTTCACTCAACCCCAACTCCTTAAATTCCACATGAGAACGCACACCGGAGAGAAGCCTTACACTTGCTCTCAATGCGGGAAGAGTTTCACACAGAAAAACGGCCTTAACTACCACATGAGGATCCACTCCGGAGAGAAACCTTTCACCTGCGCACAGTGTGGTAAAAGCTTTATATATAACACCGCCCTTCTTCGCCACAGGAAGACTCACTCCGGAGAGAAGCCGTTCACGTGTGGTCAGTGTGGAAAGAGTTTCACGAAAGATTACTCCCTGAAGTATCACTTGATTAGTCACACCGGAGAGAAACCGTTCAAATGTGATCTCTGCGGGAAAAGATATCTACGTAAAGACAACCTTAACCAGCACATGAGGATTCACAATAACGACAAGTCCTATGTATGCGATCAGTGCGGAAAGGGTTTTACCCGTAAAGATTACCTCAGCCAGCACACGAGGATTCACACAAAAGAGAAATCCTTTAAATGCCATCAGTGCGGAAAGAGTTTCGCTCAGAAAAGCGCCCTGAACGCGCACGTTATCAGGCATTCAGCCAAGTCGCCAGCCACATAGGCCGTTTACAATCGTTTGATTCTGGTGCAGCGTGAATTTCAGGTGAAGGCTTGGACGTAAAAACCCAATAGAAGACATGGAGGAAAGTTTATATTATTGCGATTTAGACCAAAGATGGAAAGTAACCACATATATTGGATGCGATAATTATATTTATAGGAGGTTTCCACTGAACTGAGGAAGCAGTTTAAGCTACTATATCGACAGGAATATCTACGGTGTTACAAACCATGCAAGTTGGATTTAAGTCTCCTAAGCATTTAGTCTTCTGTTTTTCAATTAAAATCACTGGTGATCAACTTTGTATCTCTGAAATCAATGTTATAACTTTTTTTTTGCCAGGTGATCCCACGGATTTCAAGCAATATATGCAAAGAAAAATGATCTCACACTAGATACTGAGCGCTGCTCGTACGGCGCTGCAAAAAGGGCCTGGGTTTAACAAGATAATTAGACATCTTGCAAGCAATTGGTCCATATTGTAAATATCTGTAGGGAGTGAGGTCATCTTTTGATCCTCTATTGGTCTCACACAGTCACTTGATACAATTTTGAAGGTCAAAGTTCATCAATTTCACCACCTTTACAATGCATCGAATTGCGAAACTTGTCACACGAGCTTGCGTTTGGAGTCTGCCGAGATAGCATGTGTATAAATTGAAGACTATGGGGTGAAAAGTGCAGTATGACCATGGCTTTAGACAAGGCTGGAACACTTACGCATGGTCGTCATACTGTGAAGAGATTGGTGGTGGATTCAGAGCACAGACAGTTTTGTTCAGATAAAGGCAGAATGAGGAAGTCTCTGCCAGACAAATCCACTGGATTAAAAGAGCAGGAGCTAAAATGCAAGCAAATCGGTATTTAAAACACAGTTTATTGTTGTGAAAGCTAGAGGATTCTACCGTATTCATTAGTTTACCAGTCCCAAAAATCTCCACTAATAATCTATTTATGCCAATGTGAGCATTTTCTTTATAGTCCAGTTGATCAACCTATCTCTATGTTAACATCGCAGATGTTTAATCTACACCAGGGGTGTCAAACACAGTTCCTGGATAGCTGCAGCCCTTCAGAGTTTAGTTCCACCCTGCTTCAACACACTTACCATTAGGTGGAAGAACTCAATTAGTTCCTGTTTAACCCGGAACTGAGCTCATGTCTACACTAAAACATTTTTGTGACGAATTTGTCCCCTCCGTGAGCTAATTTGTCCCTCATTTGTTTAAAGTGTTACATTTTAAATGCTAATCACATGACATCATTTGTAAAATGCGCATTTGTAAGTAAATAATTTGTCGTAAAATAGTATGGTAAACTCTGGCAAAAGTCGAAAATGTGTGGTGTGGTCATGAGCACCATCCGACAAGTTAATCCAGCAAAGATTAGTGGTTAAAATACAGCAACTACCCCTTTCAATAGGCTGGCTACAGGCCTGTCCTGAGTCTTTTGGCTCTCAACTTTTAAATAATTTCCTTATTTAATCTAACAATTCTTTAAATATCTTTATCACTTTTGTTTCTTGTAAATAATGAATAAATCGACATTCTATCTGTGATCTCCTTTCCTAACAAGACCTGAAACGAGAAGTTATTTACACCATTTGATCTTAGGACTTGTTTCCCAGAGATGGGTTGCGGCTGGTAGGGCATCCACTGTTTAAAAACTTGCTGGATAAGTTGGTGGTTCATTCCGCTGTGGCCACCCTAGATTAATAAAGGGACTAAGCCGGCAAGAAAATGAATGAATGAATCTTAGGACTTGTCTTAATCGAAATCTCAATCTTTCATACGTCACACATTCCAGATGTATGTGTTGTTTCATGTTGTCCACATTTATCACAACATGTTTAATACTTTCCCATTCTATTCAGACACTGATTTAATAAACAATGATGTCCACTACGTGTTTCTTAACAACACCACATCATTCCTCCTGCTGCCAAACTTTTTTTCATTCTTTAAATAAGATGCAAACGTCTACCTTTTATTCTGTTACCCCACTCCTCCCCCTTTCAGTAAACCTTAAATCGTTGATTAAAACAAAACACACACACGTTTTATATTGTTCAGCGTGTTGTATTACTATTATGAAGTGCACTGTTGAAGAATGAATTTTCCCCAAATCGCTCAGGTCTACACGAGACTCTTATTTTGAAAATAGACTATGACGTCATAAACCTGCGCCGCGCAACCGTGTTTGCGGTTCAACAAAAAGGTTTGTGTTTTAAACGCTGAAGCTCTGTTCATATTATATTATAGAATAGTTTACAAGCAATGCTAAATAAATGCTATATAATAGTAATAAAAGCGTAATTATTGGGAGTTTAAAGCGAACGCGAGTAGCGTTAGCAGAAAAGGTGCTTCTAATTTCTCTATCGTGAATCTGTCAGTAAACAAACACGAATTTAGTAGAGATTAAACCAGCAAAAGTCAGTAACGTCGATTTGAATCAAATGTTTTTAGAAATAATTCATTGATTTACGTTGATAAATGTATTTTCTGTGATATTTTGCTTCTGACCATTTGAGGTCGTTTTAAAAGGTTACACTAATTTATATTGATTAACCCTGGCATTTTTGTTTTCATGTTCTGTTTTTGTTGTTACTACTGGCTGCACCTTTAGTTAGTTAGTAAGTATAAAGCTTCCCTTTGGGGCAATTCATTCTGACATGGTGGTGCTGCTTCACATATCCCTGATGAAAAATCCAGCTTCCACCAGCCTGACTTTAGAGAGGTTTGGCCATTTCCAGGCTGGTTTCAGCTAGGGATGGGTGATGCCAATATTTTTGTTTCCGATCTGATACCAAGTATTTCAAGACAAGGAACATCGATACCAATACTTAAATTAAATATTTTATAGTGATTAAAAAAAATGTTTATCACCTTTGTTATTTTTATTATCATTATTATAATTAAATAAAACACAAGACGCATGATTGCTTTTTACATTCATTGAAATTACAGACCTATAATTGGCTAAATAGCACCAAATATTATGAAAAATAATACATTGCACAAACCTTTCCTTTAATAGTTTATTTATTGAAATAAACGACTGTTGAAACTCTGTTTTTTGTTTACTGATCAAAATCTTTTGCTTTTGAAAAGTACAATATAATAAAACAAATAGTTGCCTAACAAAAAATAAATAAAGCCTTGACAACAGACAATAGATTGCCACTGTGGCGAACAGTTTTGTGACGGGTATACAAAGCCTCGTCAATATTTACTGTAGTAAAATAACTCCAGATAATACTTTTATGTTCAGTCATGATGACCACAGCTCCGCTCTCGAGTTTTACGACCTGCGCTGGGTGTGTGCGGTATCTGTACTACTGTGCCGTCATCTAACGATGTCCTATTAGCATAGATACAGCGGAAGAAAGTTCTAGTTCCCAGTCATGTTCCTATTTAAATAAATATTTACATAATTAGCGGCTGTATAACTATTAAGATATTCTAAAAACTCTGATCACCCTGTAAGAAAAACCCCCAGAAAAGATAGATACTTTTACTTAAGGATCGATCCTATTGATACATTCCCGGTATCGAAAATATCGATACTTCAGGATCGATCCGCCCATCCCTAGTTTCAGCCATTTCCTCAACCTGAACAGCTAAGACCGGGCTGAAAATGGCCAAAACCCCTCTAAAACCATTAAGTTAAAGTTGGTTTTATATTCGCACATTCAGTCCTTCTCATTAATAATATAATCTCAGATAAGTATTAATTGGAAATTCTAAATAGTAAAATCATATTAGCAGCCAACAACCAGCAAAGTACAACATAGTTCACAGTCAATTAAAGAGTGCTAATGTTGTTTTGAAGTCATACTTACATGTGATTTTAGTCTGAATATTCAAAGGACCATAGTTAACAATGTATGGAGCTGTCACTGAACGAATGTGTGAATATAAAACCAGCTGTGTCCGTCTTAAACCCTAGCCTGACCAGCTAAGACCAGGCTGGAAATGCCCAAAACCCCTCTAAAACCAGGCTGGTTGACCTAGCCTAGGCTGGTTTAAGCAGCTTTTTTTTTTTTAGCAGGGAGAACAAGAATAACACATAAACACCAACACTTAACATCAAGGACACAAACAAAACTGAAAAAAAAGGAGGAATAAAATCAACAACAATAATTTACATTTTAAAAATTAATAATAATAATAAATAATGACCAGGGCCAGACGGAATCTGCGGACGTTTTTTGCTATTCCTGCTAAGTATTTTAAGTAAAAATCTGCGGATTTCTGCAGAATTATTTTGGGAGTATCGTAACTAAAACCTTAATATGCGAAATAAAAAAAATACCTTATTAACTTTTATTTAATGTTTACAATTGCAAATCCAGTTAGACTCACTTTATTTGGTAAACAAAGCAAGTCTCTCATATAACATCTCTTCTAAAAGACAGAAAGTAGTACTGTATTGTACATAAATCAGATGAACGTTTTCATATTAGTCAATAAGATTACTGTAATTAATTTAAAAAGTGAATAAATATAGATGTACACACATTTACTCGAGTAAATAAACAGAATTAATGATGGGCTAAACATCTGCGGGAATCCAACCGCGCAGATTCCATGTGGGCCTAATAATTACCCATCGGTTATCTCCGTTTATTACATAACTGAATTGCTGAGTTGATTTTCCGTAGACGTCGCCCAAACGGCATCCACTCAAAATATTTGTTCAAGGAGTGTGTGCTGTCTCCTAGTATTGTCTATCTTTGTTGTTTGTCTTATTTGTATTCTTGTTGATAGTAAATAAATGATACGTAGCTGGATTTAATCACTGTGCGTTGATGTCATTATTTAGTCAAAACAGTGTAAACAAGCTAGTTTTACAAACTCAGTGTTTTCATGAATGTGCGATATTGATTTAATTTGTCTTTTTTTCTTATCTTAAACAGAGTAAAGTGACTAAACGCTGAGAAAAACTCCCGGAGAAGCGACTGAGATCTCTTTATTATCATCAACCAATATAAAGATGACGTCTCTTAAAGAGGAGAGTGAAGATCTGAGGATTACAGAAGTGTTCACACTGAAACATGAAGATCCTGAGGAACAAACAGGTTAGTTTTAATTTCTCAAAGGACCTTTTAGAGGTGCATCCAGCTCTGTAAGATAATAAACTCCTCCAGAAACTGAACCTGAATCACGGAGGCTTTCAGCGGTGCTTCTGACTGAGCCAAGCCCAGTTTGATGACTTGTTGTCGGTGTCGCCTGGAGGATTTTCCCCGGGACACCATCAACAGGTTCTACGTCACAATCACGCCCCCACAAGAGCAAGCTTCTGATTGGTTAACGCAGCGCGAATGTCCGCTGAAGTTCAGATTTTCGAACTCGAGTGATTTGCGCGTCAAACACGCAAAACGTTCAATTCGCGCCGCGCCATTCGCACGTATCGCGCCATTTGCGCAATTCGTGCCATTCGCGCCGCAGTCTGTCTATTCGCGCGTTTGCATTGACCTAACATGTAAATCACTCGTGCTTGATGTGCGTTCCGCGACTGGTGTGAACGCAGCATCAGGAGTGCTGTTTTTGTGCTATGAAATGCTCTAAATCCAGATTGGAATTTCTGACAAATGTTGTTTCTTTGCAGGAAGGAACCTAATTGAGTAGTTCCACCTTTTCCTAGTATCATTGATAGAAAATGCAGGTTTGAAACGGTTCTATAATATATTTATTCTTTGGGATCAAGTTGTGACAGAGGTTTGGGTACATTTCCTAAAAGTAAGGATGAATTTAAAATGTTAAAAACAGGTTCAGCAACTTCTGAAACCAATTGTTTTAATAATTTGGTTGGTGTAGGACAGGGATGGCCCGGTGTCCCTGCAGACTTTTGCTCCATCACTAATCAAACACACCTGAACACACTACTCAGAGTCTTCAAGATCACTAGAAAGCTACAGGCAGGTGTGTTTTGATTAGGGTTGGAGCAAAACTATGCCGGACACCGGCCCTCCAGGACCAAGTTTGCCCATCCCTGGTGTAGGATCTAACATAGATGTTGTTGATTTGGAGGACTTTGCCAGTTTAGGCAGTTCTTACCTACTGCTGAGAAAGTCTGAAGTTTATCCGGTAATGATCTACAGTGCTTTAATTGGGACAGTGCTGTAGGAGACAGATTGATGGTGCTTATTTTATATCAGATATTATCAATCTTGCATGTGAAGAAACTCATGAAGTCGTTACTGCTTGTGTGGAGTAAAGAAATTTTTAGTTAGATTAGCCACATTGTTATACGGAACCTTAGGACTTTGTTTTCTTTTATAAAAGTTGAAAAATAAGTAGATCTGTCAGACTTTAAAGCTTTTCTAAAGCTAAGTATACCTTCTTTCCAAGTCAAAAACCTCTAGTTTTGATTTCTGCCATCTACTGCTCCTGCTGTAATCTTTGCCTATTCTAAATAAATCCTGCATTCGGATCGTCACACTAGTTGTCATGGTTAGTTTATTACAGAAGACTCTACGGTAAAATATATCCATATGTTTGGCTCATTCAGACTAGTCAACATGAGCGTGTCCTCGAGGACCAAATTAAGGTCTTTTTATCCCTTGCTTGCCTCACAGATCGTTCTGACTTTAACAGTAAAAGTAGAGGACCTAATGCTGAGCCCTGTAGCACTCAATGGTTTCAGTATTATGTGCTGGTTTTCATGTCTGCTGTTTTGTGCCTTTTTAAGCTGGTGTTAACTGGTGTTTTTTCACTTTAGGGCTGATGGTGCTGAAAGAAGAGGCTCAGGTACTAAATGAAATTGAAGAGAAAGATCAGTGTGGGAAACACCAAGATTCAATGACCGATGAACCATCTGAAAGAGCTGAGAAAACCAAATCTTTCCCCTGTCATCAGTGTGGAAAACATTTTAGTCGAAAACAAAGCCTTAAAGTTCACATGAGAATTCACACTGGAGAGAACCTTTCCACATGTGATCAGTGTGGAAAGAGTTTCAATACAAAATCAGGTTTTGACAAGCACATGAAAACTCACAGCGGAGAGAAGCCTTTCTGGTGTACCGAGTGTGGAAGGAGTTTCTGTAAAAAATACACCCTTGAAATGCACATGGCAGTTCACACAGGGGAGAAGCCTTTCGCCTGCGAGCATTGCGAAAAGAAATTCCGTCAAATGGGTAATCTTAAAGCTCACTATCGTGTTCACACTGGAGAGAAGCCGTACACCTGCCAACAGTGTGGAAAGAGTTTTACAAAAAAGACAACCCTTAGGTCTCACATTATCAGTCACTCTGGAGAGAAACCGTTCACGTGCGATCAGTGTGGAAAGAGTTATGCATGCAAAGATCACCTCGACCGACACATGAGGATTCATACGAAAGATAAATATTTCATATGTGATCAGTGCGGAAGCAGTTTTAAACTGAAAGAAAACTTTGACCAGCACATGAAGAACCACGCGGAGAAATCTTTAATATGTGAGCAGTGCGGAAGGAGTTTCTTTTGCGAAGCAACTTATGAAAAGCACATGAGAGTTCACACCGGAGAGAAGCCTTACTCGTGTACAGAGTGTGGAAAGAGTTTCAGTCAAAAGGAAAACCTCACATCGCACATGAGAATTCACACCGGAGAGAAGCCTTTTGCCTGTGAGTACTGCGAAAAGAGGTTCAGTCAATTACCAGCCCTTAAAGTCCACATGAGAGTTCACACCGGAGAGAAACCTTACACCTGCGCACAATGCGGAAAGGGTTTCGCCCAGAAAAACGGCCTTAAAATTCACATGAGAACGCACACTGGAGAGAGACCTTACACTTGCACGCAGTGTGGTAAAAGCTTTATAAGTAAAGAGACCCAAATTCGACACATGAAAACTCATCACACTGGAACGAAACCGTTCGCATGTGAGGATGTGGAAAGAGATTTAGATGTGAAATTCCCTCAACCAACACATGAAGATTCACACTGAAGAGATTACATGTCATCAGTCTGGAAAGAGGTTCACTGAAAGGACTCGCAAATTGCACATAGCCAAGCACATCTAAAGTCTGGCCACAATAACAATTCTCAAAATTTGCCCAAGTGAGCATTTCAATTTGTCTCTTGCCGATTATTCTAGCAACAAACATCCAATGCTGCTGTTTACTCCACTGAAATGCCATACTTTTAAATCATGAATAGGCAACTTAGGTCCTGGAGAGCTGGTGTCCTGCAGAGTTTACCTCCAACCCTAATCAAACACACCTGCCTGTAGCTGGTCTTGAAGACACTGCCTAGCTTGATAAGTGATGAACTCTGTAGGCCAGTGGCCCTCCTGGGCTGAAGTTGCCAGCCCTAAGTAGTGCACAATTTGAAAGAGCAGTGATTGGTAGTGGTGTCCGAAACCATAGTGGACGTTCTGAATCACACTCAAATCAATCTCATGCACTCCCAATAAGTCATTGTCTTTGTTGCTTGCTTGGTTCTGGTGTTTTTTAGCTACTCCTCTTTTCAAAAAATTAAAGGGTTACGGCTGAAACTTCTGCTATTTCCTTGTCCCGACTTAGGACAGGGGATTTAAAACTGAGCTATATCGCCGAAAGCAGTTGTGAAATATGCCAATAAATCTGAAGTAAGCTGAAGCTTGTCCACTGCTTGTTTTGTGACTCTGGAGGACCTGAGTGAATTAAAAGGAGAAAGGGGGGACAATCTATTCTTAATATTTGGTTTTGAATGGAAGGAGATCGATTTAAAGGGGCTGTACGTAAATTTTTGACTCTTCTAAAGCATAAAAATACCATAAAACCAGATATTTAAGAAACTTGCCAAGATAACTTTCTTGTTTATCTAAAAAACAATGCAATGCTTTAAAAATGTGCTTTCCATGTCACAATGGCTGTCTTTGTTTTGGTTCTGTACCCCACCCACTGCCAGTTTAGCCAATTATATTTCAGCAGCCCGGGTTGCCTTGTTGGAAGTCCGCGTATTTAATTCATTCAGTCAGGAAGGCTCTCAAACTATATTGTCCACAACTGAAATGCGACCTCCAGTGGACGGTAGCAGACTCAGAAATGAGATGCAGATTCAGAGCTCCCTATGAGGTTATTAATTAGCAGATAATGTAAATATTACGAATGTAAACATTAGGTGTAACCTAAAACTCAGAGTATGTTAACCTTGAAATGAGAGAAACTCTTGCTGTTTCTCAATACGCGTTCTTCAGCGGTCTTGCGTCCTCGTGTAACGTCATCATCCTCTGCCAAAGTTCAGTTCCAATACTCAAGAACTCGTGAAACTTCCTGGATGTGTTCTTGATATCGAGTATGCAGACTTGAGCACTGAACTCTCTCTGGAAGTCCCAGAAGTCTTTGCGACTGAAGGTACGAAGTGCAGCATTTTATATAGATTTATTAATAAAGTTCAGAGATTTACCTCAGGAGTTTCTCTAAACGAAACCGTGAGTATAAACGTAACCATAAACATCTTAATAAAGGAATAAGCACATTAAGGGTGTTCATTTGCGGAAATTCGTATTAAAATCAGTTTTATTTATATTGTACAACGTATATTTGTACGGCTTTTATGCATAGATATTTTGCTGAAGAGGGGAAAAACAATAAATCATTGCATGAATGCTGCAATTTTTAAATAATTGTACATTTAAAACGCGTGAAGGTCATGTGACCATGTAGAACGCTGCATCTCATTTTCCACAGGATGCGTTCTCTGTTCTTTCAGTCTCACGAGTTCGTACTTCCGAGGTGACCTGGCAAGACCAGTCTCCCAAAAATGCAAGCCCGTTCTCTGCGTTCTTGGAATTGAGATACAGCCTCTGGGTTTTCCGTTTTAAAATGACAGGTTTGTCAAACTCAAGAAGCAGGGTAAGTCAAGCCTGTTTCTGTAAGAGAGGTAACCTTTACTCTTGAGTCGGTTACTGTGGTAACTTTCTCTGTGAATCTAACCTGGTCAGGAGCAGGTTTTATTCTTTAAACTCTGAGTTTCTGATGGTCTTTTTTTTTTTAAAAGACGAAGTCGTATTTTTCGCCTTGGCCTTAAGAGCTAAGTCAAAAGTTATGCGCATCTTAACATTTCTATAAACGTTTTTTTATGCGCATCTCCAAAATGTGCATAAAAATAGTTGGATGGAAATTCCAAGATGCGCATAACTTTTAAAAATATGTATAAAAAATGTATGCATATATCTGACTAGGATAAACTTTTTATTTGAAAAGAAAAGATGCGTATAAACTGCGATTGAAACACTTTTACCGAACAAATTCCAGTACGTGCATTAAAATAGGTCATGTGATTTTGTATATGAAATCATGTGATGATAAAAATGTGTGTTAATGGACAAACCGGTCGGCTGAGCACACTGTAAAACGGCTGAACTGTCGTTTTGGTCATTCAAAAACTCCAAAACCATTTCAGGATAAAGCCTGGTTTATACTTCTGCGTCAAGTGACCGGCGTAACCCACGACGCATCCAACGCGCGTAGCTGTGCATTTATACTTCTGCGCGCTGTCTCTGTTGGTCTGCATTAACACTTCCGAAACGCTAGTTGGCAGTGAGGTGTAAATGTTCCTCTGTGTCGAGTTTCTTCTCTGCTGTTTTGCTTTTCCTGAACACTTCCGGGATGTACAAGTGGCTCAAACTCGCTCATTTTGAGACAGGAACTGGCGGACGTGCAACAACTTTAACTATGAGGTAAACACAAAACAAAACTTTTCATCCGGAGCTCCTTCACAGGACTCCATACTTGTAAACAATCGCTCCATCAGGGTCGCGCCATTCGCACGGCTCTCGGTCCCGCCCAGACTTGTCAGCACTGCCAAGCCGAACAATCAAAGAGCTTGCGCTACGCGTCGTTGCGACGTGTAGTTACATTTTTTCAGAGGTGCACATCAGCCGTCGGCGTAGGGCTATGCGTAGCATACGCGTGCGTTTGACGCAGAAGTATAAATCAGCCTTTATCGTTGCTATATTATAGGCATGAGATTCTGATGGTATGATAACCTTGGATAATGATATCACAGTTTCACCGTATTGTGATTACTGCTCTATAATATGCTCCTTTTAAATATCTGGGTAAGAAACAAAACCTTTTTTTCACTTGAACACAATATATTTTATTTTGAGAAACATTTCCGAAATATTTTAGCAGTAAACATGTCAGGCTAAATAATTCAAATGAAACAATTAACTTACACTGCCTTCATTAATTTTTAAAACACAGATTTATTTACAATTTAAATGGCATTTTTGGATATTTTTTCTGCTGGAGCTGGAGTGTTATCCTAAAAAACAAAAACATAAATAAAAAATCTTACGTATATCAGGAATGGTCTAGTAGAAAATTTAGGCGGTATTAAAACCTTGACTTTTCCAATAGCGCGGTATACCTTGAAAACGGTTATCGTCCCATGCCTATATTATTAACAACCTCCAGAACTGTCAAGAGCATCTGCGCTCTGCGTCTCATGGTTTTAAAGGCGTTTATTGCTTGTCTGCATTTTCTTCTGAGAGGAAATGAATTTATTAAACATAGAAAAGATTGACGCAGTTGCTCCTACCTCAACAGATTATGTTTGTACTGTGGATATTTGCTGCAAGTTAATCAGGAAGTGAGGATTTTGTTTTCTTTGACTCGTTGGACGGAAAAACTGCTTTATTCGCACGTCTTTTAAGCGATATTCCAGTTTTGTGCATGAATTGAATTGTTTTAATTGCTTTTCTATTTTTAAATTTAGAAATCACTTTTATTTGAATCTCTTTTACTAGCAGCATGAAGAGAGGTTTACTTTTGGCAAGCTTGAACTTATAAGTCAGAATTATTAGCTCCCTTTGAATTTTTAGTTTCTTTTTTAAATATTTCCCAAAAGATGTGTAACAGAACAAGGAAATTTGCACAGTATGTCTGATAATATTTTTTTCTTCTGGAGAAAGTCTTGTTTGTTTTATTTTGGCTAGAATAAAAGCAGTTTTAATTTTTTTAAAGCCATTTTAAGGTCAAAATTATTAGCCCCTTTAAGCTATATTGTTTCCAGTTATTATACAATAACTTGCCTAATTAACCTAGTTAAGCCTTTGAATGTCACTTTAAGCTGTATAGAAGTGTCTTGAATAATATCTAGTCAAATGTTAGTTACTGTCATCGTGGCAAAGAGCAAATAAATCAGTTATTAGAGATTAATTATTAAGACTATTATGTTTAGAAATGTGCTGAAGAAATCTTTTCTCCGTTAAACAGAAATTCGGGAAAAAAAAATAAACAAGGGGGCTAATAACTCTGACTTCAACTGTATGTGAAATTTAAATAATAATAAAATAAAGTTTATAATAAAGCCAGCGTCTTTTAAAGAGCGATCCTAAATGTATTAACCCAAAATCACATGTGTATATAAGGTAAGGAAAATGATTTAAAAATATTACGAGCAATAAAAGCTTCAATTAATTAAAAAAAAAGTTGAATATGTTGGCAAGAATAAAATAAATGTGAAATAGTTTCATGGAAGCTTTCACAAAAACAGCATTCTGACTCGATATCAATTTTACATTTGTGTAGGAATATTTTTTGTGAGATAAACTCTGTGAATTCATTTAAAGACACAAATATATCCCACTCCTCCTCTCAGTAAACTTTAGCTGTAAACTTTAACCGGATCTCAAAACTTTCCATATAATAATATAAAACAAAAAAAAAAAAATAACAATAATATATATATATATATATATATATATATATATATATATATATATATATATATATATATATATATAATATATTTTACAGTCTATGAATAATTCAAGGCGCTATCTTTTAGTCAGAAACACACACACACACACACACACACACACACACACACACACAATGTACATATAATAAGTAATGATACTTTTATATTACTTTAAAATAAAGTGTGCACTATTGGAGACTGTTGAGTTGATTCTTCCTCAAATCCCTCAGTTCTAAGTGAGACTTTTATTTTGGTACTCTGTAATGACCTATCAAGTCTGCGCAGCGCTTTCGTGTTTGCGGTTCAACAGAGGTTTGTGTTTTAAACCCTGCAGCCTCTTTTAAACTGAATTATAGTTTACTATTCAACTAATGTTAATGCTAAATGAATCGTCATCAAATGTAACCGTGTAATAGTCAATCTAACTTTTACCTTGAGTACAAAACGACGTAATTAGTGCAAAAGCGAGTTCAAAGCGAACGCAAGTAGAAGAAAAAGGCAACAGTGTTGACACACAAACGCTTTTCTGTCTTCAAAACTGTTTTTTTATTTAGTTGTAAAGATGTTAAATATTACCTGGACACGATTTCTGCCTCCAGCAGTGTTCAAGCTTTAAAATGGAGAACACATGTGACTCTTATATTGTAGTTTCTTGTCTATAATCTGCAGCTGTCTGTGATATTTTGCCTGTGACCATTGTTGAGGTACTTTTAAACATGTTATATTGTGATTAATATTACCTCTGACATCCAGTCAAAACAGTGTAAATGCACACAAGCTAGCTTTACAAACTCTGTGTTCATAAATGTGCAATATTAATAATTACGCTGGTCAACACATTCATTTTTATTATTTATTTCTGTTGTTTTTCTCATCCTAAACTGAGGAAAGTGACTAAACGCAGAGGAAAACTCCTGGAGAAGCGACTGAGATCTGCTCTTCATTATCATCTACTGTTATAAAGATGGCGTCTCTTAAAGAGGAGAGTGAAGAACTGAGGATTACAGAAGTGTTCACACTGAAACATGAAGATCCTGAGGAGCAAACAGGTCAGTTTTTACTTCTCCAAGCTGAACTCAGAGTCATTTAATCCTCAATCAAGTGTGCAGCTCTAAATCAATCAATCATATTTTAGAGAAATCTCGTGTTTGTCACAATTGAATGTGTCAGATCATCAAACAAAGTTAAATATTTGTGAAAGATAACGGCATATGCAGTTTTGACAAATGAAGGTTATTTATTATCAAGGAAAAACGTATGACAAAACTACGTAGCCCTTTGTGAAGGTGTTTGGTCCCTGCACCCTATAACTGGGCCACCCTTTGTAGTAACAACTTAATTTGAGTGTTTTCGATAGCTAGCAACGAGTCTGTTACAGCGCTGGGGATGAATTCTGTCCCACTTATCTTTGCAGTATTGTTGTAAATCAGCCACATTGGAGGGATTCATAAACCTTTTAAGGTCATGCCACAGCATCTCAATTTGATTCAGGACAGGACTTTAACTAGGCCACTCCAAAGTCTTTTTCGCTCGCATTAAGCATTACATTACCCCTACCCTACCAAAACCTCGGCGTTGAAAGAGAAGACAAAAAAAAAAATATATATATATATATACATACATATATTCACATACACACATATACGCATCATTCCAGAGTTCCTGAGTTGACGGTGGAAAAACAGAGTGTACCATATTTGTTCAGTCCATATGTTGTCATTTAAAATGAGAGTGAATAGGATAAACACGTGCGATTTTATTTATTTGTTTATTTATTTTTATAAGCTTGATTGATGACTTAGTTCACTCGGCCATGGTAAAACAACATGCTCTTTTTACATCGGAAGTCTATTGTGACTGTAGCACACATTGATGCTATCAACAGCATCACATCTCTACTAGTTTATTTACTGTACTTCACGTCAAGCGGTCTTGAATCAATGCTAAGCAACGCAAGGCACCGAATTGCGGCGTGTCGCACATCGTGTGAGCCTCATAGAAAACGCCAACAATTTGGGCATGGATCAATGCTCAACCAGTATGAAGGCTGATTTATACTTCTGCGTCAAACGCACGCGTATGCTTTGGCGTTGATGCATAGCCCTTCGCCGTGGCCGTCGACGTCGCTGAAGTGCATTTTTCAAAAAATGTAACTACACGTTGCAACGACGCCCAGCATAAGCTCTGTGATTGGTCGGCTTGGTAGCGCTGACGAGTCCGGGCGGGACCGAGAGCCGCGCGAATGGTGCGAGCCTGATGGAGTGATTGTTTACAAGTGTGGAGTCCCGCGAAGGAGCTCCTGATGGAAACATTTGTTTTTTGTTTACCTCATAGTTACGTCCGCCGGTTCCTGCCTCATAATGAGCGAGTTTGAGTCACTTGTACATCCAGGAAGTGTTCAGGAAAAGCTAAACAGCAGCGAAGAAACTCGACACAGAGGAACATTTACACCTCACTCCCCACTAGCGTTTCGGAAGTGTTAATGCAGACCAGAAGAGAGAAGTGTAAATGCACAGCTACGCGCGTTGCATGCGCCGTGGGTTACGCCGGTCACTTGAGGCAGAAGTATGAACCAGGCTTGAGACCCAATTCAGCACCAGCACTTCCCACACAGACTTTACCTGGGCGGCCCGGTTCTGCCACAGACTCACATGCTCAGCATGCAGACCCACAGAGACGCGCTGGACGCAGACCTGCTGTTCTGACTTTGATAGTAGCTTTAAAAAGAGCACGAGGACACGCGGAAATGAAAAGCCTTTTACTAAATAGACTGACCCAGCTCATTATTTGGGGTGACAATACATCCTCTTTTCCCCACACATGCCCGAGATTCTGCTTTTGATATTAATTGTATTCGTTTTTGCATAACTGATGACAAATGAGGTGCGTCTCAATCTCAGCAGCACCAACACTACAGCAGAGAGAGAGAGAGAGAAGATTTGACCTGTCAGTGGTGTGCATGGATACATTTTTCTTTCCTTTAAGAAACACTTTTAAATGCTCAACTATTTTTTTTTATTTGTCTGTTAAATAAGAATAAGAAATCATTCTGTTGCTGAAAGCCATTAAGGGTTTATTAGAAAATATAGTGTCAGTTTGGGGCAGAAGGAAACTAAGTCATAGAGGCATTCCCATATTCAGCTCAGTATTAAACACAATTTAAGCCGTTATTACAAGAAGGCTCTGGCTACAGAGTTACACTTGCATCCTCATGCTGCGTTTACACCAGACGCAGAACACGCGTCAAGTGCGAGTGATTTATATGTTAAGTCAATGCAAACGCGCGAAGAGGCATCCTGCGACGTGATACGCGCGAATGACGATAATGGCGCGGTGCGCATGGCGCTGCACGGATTGAGCATTTTGCGCGTTTGACAAGCTTAACAACCGTTTCGCGCGAATCTCTCGAGTTCGAAAATCTGAACTTCAGCGGACATTCGCGCCGCATTAACCAATCAGGAGCTTGCTCTTGTGGGGGCGTGATTGTGACGTATCGCCTGTTGTTGGTGTCCCAGGGGAAATTCTCCAGCCGACACCGACAAGAAGTTCATCAAACTGGGCTGGGCTCAGTCAGAAGCACCGCTGAAAACCTCCATCAGCCAGGTTCAGTTTCAGGAGGAGTCTATAGCCGCATTTCCACTATCGGGCCAGTGCGAGCCAGGGCTTTAATCGGGCCAGGCCGGGCCAATAGCCCTGGAGGTTGAGAAATGAGGCCGAAATCATGTCGCGTTTCCACTGACGGGCTGATAGCTCACAGCGCGTCACGCAAACACCGCCCACAGAACGTCCCCGAATCAAACGTCACACAACCCGCCTACTTCAGATAAAGCACACCATAGAATCATCACGAAACGAAACCATTAAAATGAAGACAACCGAAACAAACAAATGACAAGTTACTGTACAGCAGTACAAGAAATGTCTATACGCACAGACCTGTGTATTTCCATTCATTACATTTGTTTACTCGCCGACCAACTGGCATTGTGCATCGACTGCTCTCGCCGAACGCAGGGACCCATCACAGAGAGCGCACACATCCATAATATAAAGCCACAGAAATTCTCCTTTATAACTCGATATTGCATGTATTTTATAACATCCTCATTTTGATAGAAGTCGTGTTAAGTGTTTCAGCATAAGAGCGAGTAGCCTTATAAAATATAGCCATATTTGTTGCGCTCGGCAGCTATTCACTAAAGCTCTTCATTTAAAGTTTCAATTATAAATTTAACCACGTCATGTTAAAACATAAACAGTTGTTTGAGGATATAGAACACATTTTGTGTTTGGACTTTCCCCCATACGGTTTAAAGCTGCGAGCACTGCGCAGGACTGGGTGACAGAAAAAAAAGGTATAGGCTAGATTCTGCTTTCAAATAATGCTCTGTTTGCGCGATTTGATTAATATCATCGTATCCAAATACTTTATAAATAATATTTCAAACCTTCTCCGGTGTTAATTGTTTTTATAAAATATCGAAAATCTTTTTTTTTCAGACAGGTCTTTGTAAAATGAAAATTAGGCTATATATGCTTTAAAACGGTTCGATTTATGTATTGTATATAGGCTACCTACATATAGCTAGCTTTTGTTTATTTTATATTGGTTTATTTATTTAATGTGATTTTATATTTATCCGATATTTGTAATTCTTTAAATTATATTTCAATATAGCTTAGGCTCTTTTATCAAGATATGACACTATATTGTTTAAAGTCTACGAAAGTGGGCACGTATTTTGTTAAGTTTTCCTTCTGTTGTATTTATATTGTGTATTATCACCAAAATAAATAAAGAAAAAAGCCGCTCGCGGCATCAACAGAGCTGTGAAGGAGTGCTTTAGCCCGGTCTCACACACACATACAGGCATCTAAACGCGCACAAACATTTTAAACTTGACAAAAACTCTCGAAAACCTTTACTGTCTGCTGTGTCTTTAATATGGTGTAAAGATTATTATGCGTTATTGAAACATAAAGGAGGACGCAGCAAAAAACGTCACTATAAATTAAAACTACTTTATTATTTTATGCAGCAGCCTTGCATTTAAAAGGGAAACATAAGGGTGATCATACGCAAAAAGACCCCAGACTATAAGGCTAGATGTTTTCTTTCCCTTATTTCTTTATGTGTTTGGCGCATGTACTCATGTGCGATCAGAAAACTGCCCGCCTCTCCTTTCACTCCGCCCCGAAGCCCCAGCTGGCCCTCCTTGGCCCAAGGTATTCGGCGGGCCGAAAAAGGCTGGCCGCTGGCCCCAAGAAAGCCCCGCTTTGGCCCGATTAGGCCCCAGAAGTGACAGTGGAAACCCCACTGGCCTTGGCTCGCCCTGGCTCGCTCGCTTTAGGCGCGATAGTGGAAACGCGGCTTATGATATTAAAGAGCTGGATGCACCTCTGAAAGAATCTAGTGGACTCAGACACGACCCTAAACGTATCAACGCTGTTTATCATCCTTCATAAAGCACATAAACACTGTTATTTTCTTCATAAAATCCATGTTAGCCATTTAGCTATGAAGCTAGAGTTACGGGCAGACAGAAGCCCTGCCCATCACGCGAATCCCCGTCTGTTCTAAAGTGAATTTGACACGCGAATGAAGCGGGGTTTGACGCGCGAATGAAGCAAGTAACCTCAAATGTTCACTCGGCTATTTACGTGCGAATAGCATGATTTATCCGTGCGTTCCGCGTCTGGTGTGAACACAGCATCAGGCTTGCACGCTCAGGCACCTACGCTTACTATGCAAGTGACGTCATTTACAATCGACACCTGCACCTGCCACGTCACTCAAAATCAACACAAATAAGCCAAAGGTAAGTTTCCAGTTGGTTTGCGTTGACAGTGTCGACGTTGTCAAATAATTCTAAGTACTTAAGTTGCACCATGGCAGAAACTTTATACAATTTCCCAAAGCTGGCTACTATTGACATTCATACCAGCAAAGCTTAGTATTTATTTATATCAACTATCAGGGCTAAATTTACACACAAGGTATTCTTCCACAGTTATGAATAAAAAAAAAAAAACACCAGGCAAATTTGAA